AAACTACCGCGGGAGACTGAAAAGTATGATAGAGTAGGATGTGGTAATAATCCTACGTATCTCCAAGATACTAAAACGGAACGCATGGAATATTCGTCTAGCATTCATCAAGTGGGCTGCAAGATACCCACAGCTGGCAAATAGCTAGAGCGATTGTTTCGATCAGCACCTAGTATGCACTAGACGCGGACTGAAACCCTGTCTCAATGACGATTCACGAGAGACTCATCCATGAGTCGAACTCAAACCCATTCTAGGATCGAGTCGCGAATAAGCTAAGAGCTGTGTATTGAATTCGCCCCTGACAAGGGCACGAAGCCGAACATCATCGGAAAGAAAAACAAGAAATAAAGTGCGGGGCACTCCCCGGAGATGGGATGTAGACATTTGCGTAGCACGATGGCAATCCTACAAGGGATCAGGACTGGTATGGGTGTAAATACATTATTTTCCAAGTCTGGTAAACTGTGCCGCTACTGCGAAGTATGTCGGAGCCGTACAGTGTTATTGTTATTGACTCGGTTGGTGTGGTAAGGACCTTTGTGCGTGGGCTGACCGTACGAACGTTTCTGATACTGCGAAGAATAATCATAGTATCGTTGACCAGGTGTTGATGAGGGACACGTGCCGTGTCCTCCTTATCGGTGTTTTTCTGATAAGTCGTTGGCGAGCGTCCTAATGATTGACGCCGACAAACTTAATTGCCGACAAGTCCACATGTTCATCGCGCGGAGGCTCCTCGACTCTACGCGGGACTCACGATCTCTTGTCCATGACGACAGGTCATGGATACTGGTTAAACCACGCGTAGAAACGAGTGGGTATCCGGCGCTGTCTTGGAGCATACCCTGGTATTCATTGGTACATATGAATCACGAAGTTCCTCCTGTGGGGAAAGCGATATCTTGATCGCATCTATTGTCTTTTTTTGTTAAGGGTTGGATTCCTACTCGAGTAATCATTGTCTGGATACTCCAGTTCTTACTATCGAGGAAGGCCTTGGTGGTGTTGGTTTCAATCCCGACTTCTTGAGGTCTTTGGAAAAGGTCATCCTACTATTAAACGCGATCTGCGAGATCGCCGTCCGTTAGGATTAGTTGATCATCAATATATGCACGGACATTTTCTAAGTCTTGCATGCGTGTTTCCATCTTCCGTGATTGAGAGATATTTCGGGATACTATTACATAGGCTCCTTGGCAACCTCTGGTCTCGTGCTTTCCCTTCGGGAGTGCAAGGGTATAGTGTTGCTTCGATTGTGGTGACAGCTCGATGTGTAGTGTCCCGTGTTCAGGTCTAGATTGGTAGCGCACTTGAATCTATTTAGGTTCAAGAGCATTTCTTGTATTTTTGGGATAGTATTAGGCTTCCGCTTGATCCTTTTGTCCGTTTCCTGGAAATCAGAGATTAATCTTACAGATCCGTCTTTCTTTGGAATGTTGAAAGTTGGTGCCGCCCTTTCGGAACGGTTCACCTTTTTGAGTACTCTTGCCTCGCAGATACATTCAACCTCCATCTTAAGAAGTTGTATGGACCTGTGGAGTAGGGGGAGCCCTAGTATAATAGGTTTTATCGTCGGGACGAAGGTCTACCTCGTAGTCGTCCATACGCAACTCTCCCAAAGTAACATCGACTGGGTCGGAGCACATGGTTGAGAAGGCATGAGTCAGTTCTTTCTCTTCCTTATTTAACGTTTTTCGACTCTGGCACATCTTGCTTAAGTCTATTTGTTCGAGTATTAGTTCAAAGTCTCTATCGCGACAACGGCTATCAGGTCGCGATGACAGCTGCAGGATAGGGAATGGAGAAGTTTTCCTTTCTATTGGTACTGCTATCTTTCGCTGGGAAAAATATGCTGTTCTACTCCATTGACATGGTAGCGAAATCAAACTTGATTCTTAAGGCATCGTGCAGAGACGTGTCATGACTATGATCACAATCTGCAGCCCACCCAATTCTTTGGTGACGTGAAAGCCCATCGAATAATTCTAATCACGTGGAATCGAGGAAGCACGACGTGCTACAACTCGGCGGGGTTTCAATTCTTTCGTAGAAGCAGTCCGTGATGTTTGTACGCCCCCATTATTCTTCGTGAGTAAACTCTTATCTTGAGTTTGAGTAATTAAGTTTCCGGATGCTCCTGTATGAAGTAAGCAACGGAGTGTGATGGGTTTTTGTTTCCCTTTATCTCGTCTGTTAAATCTAAAATAAACGATAGTTTCGAGTTCTCTTTTCTTGCGACGTTAACGAGTTGGTTGGCCACGTACGAGTTTAACGATGCTAAATAGAAAATCAGAGTCTAGTTGAGAAGATTCTAGGCAATCATCAAATTTGCCGTAGACTTCGTAAGTTGCAAACAATTCTTGTTTTCTATTTAGTGAGATATCTCATCACTTAGGTAGAGAAATCGGAACATGGTTCCGTTGAATCATCATCCTGGCCTAATCCAGGCACGAAATCTTCTCCTCCGAGAATGACTTGACAGATCGATATCGGACAAATGCGCCGTATGTACAACAGTCAGCCATTCTTGTCCATCGAGGATGAGACCCAACAGAGGAGTCGCCTCGTTGTCGAGTTGTCAGACTGCGCATGCAGACATGGTTGCATTGCTTTCCTTCTGCGATTAACCTTGACCGAAGCGTGTGGAAAGAACCTTCTGGCATGAGGACAGAAGAGTTATCTTCCTTCTGGTGTAGGTTTGGCGTCGTCGGACTTTCTTTTCCAAGTCTTGTTCTTTGTGTACGCTGGCTTGCTATTGGTGTCAGACGAGGACTGAGACTTGGCCCTGAGCTTCTTCAAAGTCATGCCATCAGCAGTGTTGTGAGTTCTTGACTCGTGGTAGTCACACCATTCTCGTTTGAGAAAGATTGGCCTGTTGCGAGTAGACTGTACTTCTTAGCTGGTGTCTTCTTCGTAGAGCTTCTGCATCACCGTCCTTGTCAAAGTCTTCGGGAGATTCCATGCGTTCGCAGAACCAAATGGTTGCTCCGATAGGATCTGAGAAACGATCGAAGTCGTGTTCGTACCCATCTCTCACCCATGACGTGGAATTCCATGACAACAAATGTCAATGACTTCGTAATGGTTAAACGTTTGGTTTGGCTATAACCTCAGCACAGTTCAGATCTACGATCCTTTGGTTGTAGATCTCTCTCGTTGATTAGTTTTCATAGCTTTCTAATCCTCTCATAACTTTCATTCTCTCAAACTCAAAACACTCGAAAGATCTTTACACTAGCTTTTAGCGTAGTGCATCACTATTCCACCACCAACAGCACCAGCCAGACCAACAAGAAAGCGATTCAAAAGCAGAATGTTCTGCAGCAGATGTGGCTTCCTTAAGAGGGATCATGTTAGAGAGGTTGAAGGAGTTGCTGCCACCTGCACAAGGAACTATTGTGGAAGATGCAAGCAGAGGGGGGAGTTTCATGTCTCCTGTCCTATGGGACAGCACTGCACCCATCCTATCCATGCTGACAGATCTGCTGAAGTTGCTACTTGGTTTGACACTATTTCTTGTAAGTTGAAACTTATTGTTACTGCGAACACTACTGAGATAACAAACAGCAACAATTCTCACAGTTGATTTTTCCTTTTCAGAACTGATTCATGTTCAAGGCATTGGGTAAGAGTATCCTCCATGATGGGCAGTGAAAGCTGCCCTGTGGGCAATGTACTGCTGGCTACTGGTCACCATTCCTGACAAGCTGTGTTTGTGCTTGCTCCAGCATTCTGTGTCAAACCAATGAAGCCACTCTGTAAGTAACAACTGCTTTGCTTCCCACTCCATGACACCAAATTGATTGTACAGTGCATCCCTCATAAGTGGCCTCACTATCATCATGCACAACTCTTTCTTTGTCATAGGATCTCCTTCTGCCACTGTCAAAGCAAGCAGAGCAAGGACATCACTGTACCACTCAGAGCTCTGCCTCACTCCCCATCCAGTCATGGTCTCAAGAATCCAGGCCATATCAGGTGTCATGGGCACAGCTTTTTCTTCCATTATGAGTTGCTCAACCATGACACTGGGAAGGTACTTTACCTTTAGAACAAAGTACTGGCTGTACCTGTTTGCCCTGTCAGTTTCATCTACCAACAAAACATACTTGAGTTCATAGCTCTGCCTGGTCTTCCGAATCTCATTGAATGGGTAGTGACTGTTAACATCTAGCCAGTGTTTAAACTCAGAACTAGCAGTTTGTAGCATGATGGTATTCCAGCTTAGCTGTAGTTGACTGTAACAGATCCAATGACTCGACTTGGTACGGAGATCAAATTGTGAGGACGTTCAATGGAGGTACGGTGCACCTCCACGAATAAGTCTCCGATGCTTCCACAAGACCCCAACTGACACAAGGGAGTTAGGTGTCAATATTTGAATTTGCTAAGTATCGCAAACTACAGTACAATGCTCCACAGTAATTATTGTCTATAGAAACGACTGTACTATCTGTTGATAACCTACACTCGCCAAGACCCTAGCTAGGTTGAAGCTATAGCGTTCGCTACTGCGCTGTTGGCAGCTGTGCGCTGCCTATCGGCTGTCGGAGGTCACTCCCGCGGGTTTACCTTAAGGTTAAGAATTTTGTTTTTGCGGGACTTCTTTTGCTCCGTTCTTGGTTTCTCGACGATGTTCTATCTTGTCAAGCTCGTTTGGAAGTTTTAGCAAAAAGGTCGTAGCTGAAATGCAAAAACTCAGGGCATTCTCGATTAGAATGCACGCTGCCACAAAGAAATCAAAGCGAAACAGCTCTTTGGACAAGATGACGAACAACCTTCGACTCTGGCATCGTTTGATGTTTGTACTGTTGGTACATTCAGGAGTCGTCCTTGGCTCGGAACTTTGGCCCAGAATCAATGGTGGCCAGTCGCAATGCTACCCTGTGCAGACAAAGGATAAGGTCTCAGGTGCAAAAGGCCTTCTCTGTTTGCGTCTTCCGTGGCAAGATCCTAAAACCTTGACTGTGGACATCCACATTGGATCAGCTGGATGGGAACTAAATGATGTATTCGTTTGGTTGGGTAGCAACGAAACCGACTTACCGTATGATGTGGAAGATGCGTGGGCGACGGCAAATTTCGACGAATTCACGTATACTCACAAAAGAGTAAGAGAGAGGAAGATATCGATCCAGACGTCGCTGCTCAATGACATGGGATTTGCGTGTCCGAATCGAGCAACGGAATACTTCGCGGCAGTCTTCGCGACGGTCAAGTCAATCGATGGACGGAAATCGGAGGCTCTTGAAATTGTGAAGAGCCCAACAGAAAGCATGTCTGATGCAGCCAATCTCCTTCCTTACACGATCTCTTGCCAACGGTTTTCGCGATCACAAATCATGCCGAGGCCAGTGCAGTCTATCAATGGCCAATCCACAAGTGCACACCGCAGGCAACTCCAGGACTGCCCCGCGTATCCAAGCAACACCGTTTTCAACCTTACAGAGGCAGAAATGAGTAAAGTATCATATGCTATCAAGTTGAACATGTTGGTGACAAGATCAGAAGCGGGTCTTATGTCTAAAGTTCGTAAAGAGCAAAAAGACAACTACGAGCTATTTAATGGTTGGTGTGACCTCAATGACCAAGCTCTGGTGGCGAAACCCAAGGATGAAGCTGTTTGCTATGCTTGCTTTATGGGCACCAATGGACTGAATCCTCTTGATGGGATACAAAACCTAATCCTCAGCAGCAGCCTCATTGGCGATTGCATGGTTAGAAATGGCTATACAGACGCCTACAACACTTCATACAGGTTAGTATTTGTCAAACACACTCAGTCTTAACAGTGTTGCACAACTAATGCTTGTGTGAAATGTATGGTCGTACAGAGATGATTTGCGATGCAAAATCGATGAGTGCGTCCAATCATGCGATGATGGTCTTTGCCCACTTGTACTTTCCGGGCATTCGCAGGGCGGAGGTAAGAAAAATGGATCAATTCTAAGTTGGGGAGACCTTACCTCTTGACACCTTCGAGTCTGACATGTTGCTTCTTCCTCCGTTCGTGCACACAGCTGCAGGTTGGTAGACACAGCACGACGCGACTTTATTGGCTGTGGATCAGTTTTCTAACAATCTATCTTTCATGCTTTCTTTCGATTTGTCTAGCAATTGCTGCCGCCATAGACTTACGCCACTACAGGCCAACGACAATTACTTTCGGCAGCCCTCGCCCTTTCATGGTAACAGACGACGCTCCTTGCACAGACCTGAACGCAGAGCAGCATTACCGGTTCATCAATACGGATGCGAATAACTACGACAGTGTTCCGTATGGGACTCTTTCTGGATCCTCCAATTTCGGCCAAGTTTTTCTTTTAGACGACACCAATTGGCCTATTGGGTACCCTGGTTTCAATGCCGATCAGACGAGGGACCCTCAAAGTTCTGCATTGCACGACAGGGGTCAATATGAGGACAAAATACTGGCGATCATGGACCGAGGTGCGTCCAACTACCATGTCACAAGCCTTGTGGTTTGAGGGGCATCCCCTACTGTATGCGATAATCCAACGGTTGTCCCTTTGCTCCTCGTGCACAGGTTGTTTCCCCGTACCGGCGGCCCCTTGGGGTCAAGGTCATTATTGCCACTACGATGACGAGGTCAGTTCAACCAAAATGCAGTGCAACTGTGGTCGTCTGTGGTGTGGTGTGATCATAATCTGACCTTTCGTGCTATATCTCCATTGCAGTGCTTCGGAAATTGTATAGCTAACACCTGCAGAGATGAAGCTAACTACTAACTAAAAGCTGCTCAAGGATCGAAACAGTTAAGGGAACTCGTGTAACCTGGCTCGTCCGTCCGCGTGGCCACCAAAAGCATGCCATCACCGCAAGGGGACAAGTGGAGCTCTCAGGAAGCAAGCTGCCGAAAACGTTCTTCTTCATGCGTGAAGTGAAGGCTACCATGCTTTAAAGTTGGATCGATCGCCTGTCGGTCTAGCCAGCCATCTAGATAACTCTTAGCTACTGAAATATTGGTAGGATCACGAATAATGAAATGCCAGGAATTTTTGTGCTGATAAAATTAGTAGTACTAAGTCTCTTTACCACGACTCTCCCCATTCTAACCTTTGAGTCTGAACAGAACATCCTGAACCTCTTGCCCATAGTCTCGACCCATTTCTGCAAGTGCAAGCTGCATTGGATTGTTATAGGCAAGATCCATCAAACTGAACACAACCTGTCTTGGGACACCAATTTGCCGATCAAAGATTGACTTCCAGGTACTCCTATTGGTCATGGCCACCTGAGTACTGGTCCATACCTGGACCATCTTCATTGTCCGGTAGTCCAGTAGATTTGCAGTTAATACAGTCTCAGTGCCACCTGTGTACATGATCCATCGAAGATGATCTGGACCACAATTCTTGGCATCATCACAGACGACAAACGTCCCTTGTGTGTAATAGTCCCAAACAGGAAATTTTGTTCCATTGGGCCATTGCATCTGTCTTTCACCAAGAAACGTCCAGGGAGTCAATATGGCTTGCAACGAATCCTTTGACAAAAGTGGTGCTCCCATGGTTGTTTTGTTGAAAAGTGTGTACCAGAAAGTGGCATGATCCTGGACCGTTGAAATGATACCACCCGTGCCAGAAGCAACACCTAGATCCAACTGCAGCACATCGGCCCCAACAGAGAGCAGCTCATGGGTGTGATTGTCATAGTAGCGCGTGTACTGACCAACGCGCTTGGGGTCCAAACCGAGCGCACCATTGAAATAGTCATAGTATGTATGTTGCAGACCCATCGGACCAAAAATGTTCTTGTGCAGGTATTCCCGAAAGGTCATGCCACTGTACTTTTCCACAAAGTAGGCAGCCAATATAAAGTTGGGGTTGGAGTAGTGGTAGGAAGTTCCAGGGCGAAACATGAGAGGTTGCATAATAAATGTGCCCACAGTCTTGCCAATGGAACCTCGATTGACAAAATATGGATCTGGGTTACACAGCTTGTGGCTGTGACTGTTATCTGGAGCATCACAATTCAGGGGTGGATAGATTCCACTCGACATGCTCAAGAGATTACGGAGCGTGATCTTCTCGCACTTCCAAGGTGTTAATGAGTTTACCAGGCGAGGACACAAATGATGACGGCCCAATCCAGGCCTAGTAGAAGATCCCAGGCCAAAGTTTTCAAAATCTTGCTTGTCCAACATGCTGGCAATGTCCACTTCTACATCTAGCTTTCCTTGTTCATGGAGCTGATAGATGGCAACTGTTGTGTAAAGCTTGGAATTGGAGGCAATCGGAAAGTGGGAATCACTGGCCATTGGAATCTTGAGTGGGATGTTAGTGTATCCAAACGGTGTGGTGGTAGTGTTATGACTCCCGCCCTCTAGTAAAGACGTGACAGACCGTACACCATCAAGGTACTTGAACACATCCTTGGAAGGCTTTGGCCATGATAATTGTGCCTTGAACCAAAATAGTGGATCTGTGGTGACAGAATGGAACCAATTGGTGGCATCGTCCTTTTCGGAGCGGGTATCACATGCACAAGGCCCACACAGCAAAGCAATCACAAGGATGGTAAAACAGGGAGCAGTCAATCTCATTGTCGTGTTCGATGAATGCTACTACAAGTACAGTACAACAAGATGTTCCGCTTGGGGAGGGCTAAAGATCGAAAGATCCAATGTTCCGTACGGTAAACCTCGGCCCCTAGTGGAGGTAGAGCGTATCTTTTTTTAAAAACACAGCGGAGCTGTAATACCGGTACCAATCAACACGTACGCACGAAGGTGACAACCTGACACCACTTGCCTCCATGCTGAGATTGCTTGCTCTGAGATCGATTTGATGATCATCATCCAAGCAATCATCCCGTTCCATCGAGCAAAGTCTTGTTACGATTCAGGCCAACAACAGTGGCTAGTAGTACAGTAGTAGAGTCTCTCCTATCTACCCTTGACGATGACGATGATGAAGATGATAAGTGGTGTTTCCTTGTTCCGAGCCTTGTTTTCCTGGGCCCTATTTTTCAGTCATGCCACTTGTATCTTTGCCTTGGCCATGAGCCCTACCCGTACCGTACTGGTGACGGGTGGAGCGGGGTACATTGGCTCTCATACCTGTTTGGAACTGCTGAATGCTGCCGATGGCCAATACAAGGTCGTCGTGGTAGATAATCTCGACAATTCTTCCGAAGAAAGTCTCAAGCGAGTCCGCGAATTGACCAGTTGCAAAGAAGGAAGGTTGGAGTTCCGAAATTGTGATATCCGAGATAAGGAGGGTCTCAAGAGTGGTGAGTGTTGTTTATTGCTGCCATCCAACAGGATACCCATGGAGGGCACTTGAATCATCTCATCCTGTCCACTGCATTATTTTATTTCTCTTAGTACTCGACGAATTTCCAGACATTACTTCCTGTGTCCATTTTGCCGGCCTCAAGGCAGTGGGAGAATCCGTCTCGAAACCATTAATGTACTACGATTGCAACATTGGCGGAACAGTCAACTTGTTGGAACTGCTGCAAAGTCGCGGCATTGGCAAATTTGTCTTTTCGTCGTCCGCCACGGTGTACGGGGAACCCGAAATGCTACCCATTCGAGAAGAAGCGCGGTTGCAAGCCACCAACCCGTACGGACGCACCAAACTGTTCATTGAAGAAATCCTACGAGATTGTCACGCATCGGATCCAGACGCATGGAATATTTTGATTCTGCGCTATTTCAATCCCATTGGCGCTCATTCGTAAGTTCCAATTACTTGATTTGATTGATGTTGACTTGATTGGCATTGGTCATGCCATGGTTCCACAAAGAATCGTCATCATCTTATCTGGACTCAACAACACGTATGATACATGCTTAGCTCTGGAAAAATTGGAGAAGATCCACAGGGGATTCCCAACAACTTGATGCCCTTTATTGCACAGGTCTGCGTGGGTCGACGTGAAAAGCTATCCGTGTTTGGGAATGACTACGATACTCCTGATGGAACGGGTGAGTTAGGTTCATGCCGAGTTTGTTTATTATTCAGGACACATGCATACAACTCTCTGCTGACTTGTGTGCGTGTGTGTGCGCCCACCACTCACTGCTTTTTGTGCCAATTCCATTCTAGGCGTCCGAGATTACATTCACGTGGTAGATTTGGCCAAAGGTCATGTTGCCGCGTTGGACAAACTGTACAGCGACGAACTCGGCTGCGAATCGGTCAATCTCGGTACCGGTCAAGGGGTCTCCGTGTTGGATCTGGTCAAGGGCATGGGAGAAGCCACGGGCAAACCAGTGCCGTACGAAATTTCACCCCGTCGTCCCGGAGACGTTGCCACGGTCTATGCCGACGCCTTTCTAGCCAAGAAATTGCTGGGATGGCAAGCGGATTTAGGCGTGCCCGAAATGTGTGCCGATACATGGAAGTGGCAATCGACCAACCCGTACGGATACAAAGAAGTCGAAGAGCTTCAAGAACAACAATAAGCCAAAACACGCGCGCAAGTTATAAGACAGCTAGCTATGATCTCACCAATCACCATCCTTTCACAATCCTGACTATTTCTTTCTATCGGACCGGTGGGCTGAATTGAGTTTAGTTTAGTTTGACAGCGGAGCTACGAACGGAATCGTGATGTCATTTCAGTGCAGGCTAGTAGCTACCGGATGGTAGATTGTGACAGGGAAGAAGTTTTATTAAAATCACTTGGTATCTTCCACTACTTTACCTGCCGGTTTTTCTTCCAATCCCTTTAGTTTGTTGTCTGCCATGATTTTTCTGAGGTATTTGACCTCCTCTTTTAGAAACACCATATCTTCTTTCATGGTTTCAAAGGACTTGGCATCATCCATTTGCTTCTTTCGCCGTTCCGAAGATGTTCTCGGTACATAGGAGTCAATTTGTTCCTCCGATTGACCACTGGCCTTTAGGGCTGCCATTTCGTCTGCTCGATAGTCCTACGATATGAAATTGAAGTACATGTAAGTAGTAGCACAATAAGAATGACAATCCAATTGCAACAAAGAACACGGGTTACCGTAGCCAGTTGTGTAAACTAAGAGGACGTACATGAAATAGGACATTCCGGAGAATGAAAGCGCCAATCAGCATCAGGAGCATGGTGGGAAAAGAAAGCTGCCTCCCACTTGACGAGTAGGCATTGGCAATTGGTTGATGGTTGCCCGGTTCTGTACCCGTACCAAGTGGAGGCATGATATGATATCTCGTCTACTAAAAGGAACTATGAGCTGCCCACTACCGTAGCTAGCTAGTAGTACAATTGACTCAACACCGATTGTCTCGTGGCTCAGTCTCGACTTTGCTAGCTAGTTTTCTACTAAAGTCGCAACAAGAATGGAAGCATCCAAGCTGCTGTGCAGATTTGATTTTGTGCTGCCAAAAGATCGTGGAAGAGCACCTTTAAACCGTTGGAGCTGTCAAACAGTAATAGTGCCTTTTCGTAGTAGGAATGGCATGCGCCATTCGTGGTACGACCGGCGTGTCTTGCTTGGATGTGGAACAGTACCATACCAATACTCGTACGTGCGGTAGTCTGGGCAAAGGGGTGTGTTTCGTGGAGCCAATAAAGGGATCAGAGGCTGATCACTGGCTCCCGATAGCTACTATTAATAGTACAAGTTTGGTGATTACCATGTAGACAAGGGAATCGAATAGAACGTAGTTAGGTATGGTGCATCAACAAAAAGTGTGATGACAGTGGCATCGATCGACATCTTTGGTTATTTACATGCGAACAATTAATTTTGTTAGCAAGAAGCTCCAGAGAGGAGCTGTACTTGCGGACCTCATTCTCGAAGACCACAATTCCTGTTGGGTAGACTTTAAAAATTCACCAAGCTGCATTCCCTAGCTAGTAGACGAACTAAGTCCTCTGAAGCATGCAATTTGGAAAAGATGGAGAAAGCCTCCCATCTATTTTTCCTCTTGGCCGATCTTGCTTCGCATGTGCCGGTACCGGTACCGGTAGCGCCAATGACCATTGATCATCACGGATTCGATTCGATGCCTGATTCGTCCAAAGCGAGCTGAGACCACTCGACCATCGTTGATTGCTATTTTACGGTTCAAGTCATGGATATTCGTGAGTGACGTCATCAACTTGGTATCGTGTTTGAAAGCCCGTGTGGGTTGTGAATGGCGGTACGACACTGTAGATACCGGTACTAGTACCAGGTACTGAGGTACGTGTAGTAAGTCTTATTTATTTATTCCCTTCCTTCCGAGTGACTTACCTCCGTAATTGTACCACTTTTGAAAAAGTCCACTACGGGGTCTGTTTCTAGCACAGCTTATTATGGGTAGTCTAATCCAGTCACTCTTTTGCTAAAATCGTATGACCGTACCAAATAGCCCGCGAACGACGTGCGTCACGTTTCTTGGTTTGGCTGCTGCCCCAAAGGGAAATGCAGATTTCCAACTCAGTCCTCGGCAAACACCGTCCAAGCCACCACAACAAACGATGGTTTCTCCAATGATGAAGCATACACTTTGGGTCCTTCTTGCTTTTCTCTCTTTGACGGGAGCTTTCCAGCCATTACCATGTCTATCACGAACACCCGCGACTCTGATCCCATTCAGTGCTCAAGAGCAGAAGGAACGCTCACCGCTGACCCTGACGGGTCTCTCTTCCAAAAAGAAAAGTGCGACTAGTGTTGACGAAGAAAAACCGTCCTTAATGGATTCTATCAAGGAGAATCCAGGAAATCTGATCGCAGCTCCCTTTGTTGTGATCTTTGGGTTGGATTTGCTTGCGAATATCTTTTTTCTTTCCAAGAGAACTTTTGAGTACTATGCATTTGGCAAAATGCCCAGTACCGAAGTATGGTTTTCGGATAATTTCTTTTTCTGAGGCAACGGCAGTGGTACGAATACAGGTGCAAGCGGTACCAACTGGTATGGTGAAATCGGGCCCAGGGCCCAGGTGGGTGTTGGGCTACTAGCTAGGTCGCCAGTACATTGGCTCTGTTCGTCAGCTCCCAGGAAAGGTTGGTTTAGTAGAATGATGACCATTAATTTGTTGGTAAAATGAGTTTCTTGTCTTCGTATTTCTGCTGCAAGTTGCAGATTTGAACTATGGTAAGGGATTGAAGATTCTACTACTGCTAGATACTACTGTTTGTCATACTTTGAACAAAAGAAGCGATCAGTCGGCCCAATAGCCAGGGCAAGCACACTTGCCTTCATCTTACCACGCTTTTTCTTCTTTTTAACTTGGCCATCTCCTATCATGGTCATGGCAGGAAGCTTGGAGATGATAGCAAGTTGAAGCATGCAAGTGCTGTGTACAGCAAGTGCATCGAGCTGGCAGCAGATGAAGAGGACTTTGAAGACTATGACAGGAACATGGTGAAGACAATTGTTGTGTTCTGCTACAACAACATGGGCACACATTTTGCATTGTAAGAGCCCATTGTTGGCTCTCCCCATGATGGCAGAAGCTCATGGTCGTCTTATGACATTGGACTCTCCAGCTCCAACAGCTATCATTGACCAAATCAAGGGAAATGCTCTATACTTGGCTGCCATTTTTGCAATTGAATCTTCCACTGCTGCCTAAAGTCTGCCAGATTTGTCATCTTGCATCACAAAATCAAGATTGTTCCATGCCTAGCGCTTGGTACACTCATCCATTGCTTTGTCCACTTGCCACCGGAGAGAAGAGTTGCCAAGGAAAGTGAGAGAAGCGTTGTCATATAAACATATGCAAAGGAGTCGAGTCCAGTTGGCTAATCCAAGGCAGCTGCCTCTAGTACCAGTAATGGCTGAAGGTGTGTCTTGGTTAATGTGTACATGTAAAGGAAATACAGTTGAAGCAGCATCGTCTTCTTCATGCATCGTGCCTGTCCCACAAGATCGAGGCCCATTGTGGTTTTGGATGTCGTCAGAGATTTATTGTCTGACGATAATAGATACAGTAATAGCGCTTTGTATACCGGATTCGATCTTTGCAAACACAGCACACAGACCACGGACCACCGACCACCGACGGCAAGCAACTGCTGTCACCGCTGTCCAGACGTCCATCTTGTTGTCAAAAACCACCATGAGCAACGAAGTAAAGGACGAAGCCGACAACAAGAAGTTCTACTTGGTGGTAGCTCGTCATGGCGAACGATGGGACTACGTGCAGCGAAATGCTGGGCATGGGGCGGATTGGATCGCTACAGCCAAGCGTCCCTGGGATCCACCGCTCAGTCCCTTGGGATTGAAACAAGCCTCTCGATTGGGAAGTCACTTGATGGAAAAGCTGGCCGAACTCAAGTTGCCTCCCATTGCGGCTTGCTATTCCTCGCCATTTTTGCGATGCCGACAAACGTCGTGTCAGGCGGTCGAAGCCATGATGAACGGTGGCACTGCTACAACGGCGGAGACTAGTGCACCATTGAAGGTCCAAATTGAAATTGGTCTTTCCGAAAGTCTGAATAAGAGCTGGTACCGATCCTGGGCTCTTCCTGGAGCTGACAGCACTTGGGGATTTGTACCTCCTGAAGAAAAGCAACCAGGCAAGAGACGACGAGGCCTGAATGAATACTCACCGGAAGAGTTGCATCTGAGCTCCCGAGTCCCTGCTCCAGAACTATTGACGTGGAAAGAGGCCACCCACGAGAGCTCACCCAATCTACAAACCCTGCAAGATATGGAGTACCAATCGACCACTGCCATATGCAAACCATTTGCTCTCAGGCCAAAAGTCTTGGTGGAAACCGCAGAGGAACAACAAACACGCATGTTCCAAGTGGTGGCCAACAAGGCTCGGCCTGGACAGACGATTCTGGTGGTATCTCACGGTGGACCAGTGACCCATTTGTATGAAAAACTCAGCGGAAAGCATTGGAATGTCCATGGAGAATCCAAGTATTGCTGCTACAGCATTTACGAATGTGATTCACCCGAGAAGATGTCCGAGGTTTGGAAAACAGTTGTAGTCAACGAGTCCAAGTATCTGGATGACCTCTGGTCTGATGGAACTGCTAATATCTAGCTACGCTATTTCTCTTGGTTATAATGTAACTACGGGTGAAGCAGCTACTTGTGCATACTATCGTCAAAAGGCATTCACGCGGCTGCATCGTAGCAAAGCTATCCACGGGAGCACGTTGCTCGTCCTCATGCAAGTTGGGACATCTCACGAGATGGAAGAAACGCTTCACCGAATGAATGGTTAGCTGTCCTTCTGCTCTACGCAAGTGCTGTCGGGTATGCGAATACTATGTTTAAGTTCAAGACCGTGCTGCAAGCATACCGAATATAGCTACAGTGGGAGGTGGGGGGGAGTAATCGCACCGCGAAATGCCCATACCGTAATGACTTTGTCGATAAAATAGCTATCAAGAGGGACCCTTTCGGCCCTTTTCCTCAGGATACCTGTAACTGCAAAAGCTTCCAGAGCAATTGAAGATTCCTTTCCTTTCAAAGAGATGGTTCCTTTCATTGTTTCAACTTGAAAGACACAAGATACTCAGGATAGGCTTGCGCATCATGGTACGCCACAAAAATGGAGGGATTGTACACATTGTCAACAGTAGAATCAAACAATTCGTGTTGACTCCATGGTTTTGAGTCAGGCACTTTCTGGCCTTTTGATCCTTTGCACCAGTCACCAACTGCCACACGACACAAGAACATATGATGATGGCCCATTTCATCAGGATAGGTAAAGTTGCAAGCAAAGGGAGCATTGGCTGCAAAATACACACCAGAGCCAAATTTGACTCCATTTTGACCTGCAAAAGACCGGTTAAAGTTTTGCTTGACGATCTTTGGGACTGTTTTGGCTGCTGTTCCATGGAAAAGCCACCTCTGTTCCAGACCATTTACATCCTTGTTGTTGACCAAGTGTCCAGGTTTCTGTGAAAAGTGTTCTCTCATTGTTCCAATCTTGATAGCATATTGTTGCCATTGTGACTCGGATTGGACTCGTTGCAGCTTTCGGACTGAGACTTGATCCTTCTCAAACTTCTTGCCCATGGAAGAAAGGAAGAAGCCAATGACGTCCATGTATTCCTGCGTCTTATTAGAGATGTCGATAAGACCATCCTTGTTGGAATCCATTGGCGGGGAAGACGCTAGGATTTGAGCCAGGAGTTGTGCAAGAACTGGGTTGTAGCCGGGGGGGGGGGGGGCACACTTGATGACTTCCCTGAAGCGGAGCCTGCATCAACACTTGTTGCCCAGCTTGCGGTGGGACTGGCCGTGGGAGTTGTGGTACAGCGCGGTCGTTCCATCCAACTACCCTTCTTCCCAAGCAGGACGGGAACCATCCTTGCCGCTGGCGCAGTTGTGTGGCGAATCTAGCGGGATGTCGCCGATCAAACACTACTTTCCCGTAGACCCATCTGTTGTCAGCGGTAGCCTTGTAGAGTCGAATGCGCTGACATTTAAAAGTGGCAAGGAAATCCTCTTCGGGATCACTGATCCAAGTTGGGGGATCAGGGAGCTTGACATCTGCGATACCTGAAGGACGATCCAGAAAGTGTATCTTTCGATAAACGCGACGCCGAAACGTCGTTTGCAAATTTTTTTGCTCCATTGCTTCGAAGTCGATGCAATAGAATGCCCCAGAGTTTGCATTGCGGATCTTTCTACCAGGAAACTTAAGTTTCATCGTTTTCCGCTTATGATCGCTCTGCTTCCACGTCTGATAGCCGCATTCCAACCTATCCGACAACTCCGGTGGGTACTTGATGACATTCGTGCCTGTCAGGATGGCCGAAGCGTCATGTCTATCAACGAAATCTGCGTCTTCTGCCCAGCCCCAGATTATTGCGGTCATATTTGATTCGACTGGACCAACTCGAACTGAGTCATAGTTTTCGATGTAGTCATCAGCATCTGCAATGATTGCTCCGGTGTCATGCAAAACTTCGAAGATCCCACTTGCGTTTCTAAGAGTCGAGTTCATGTCCATTGAGCGCGAACAATGCAGGTAGAGCTTGCTTCTTGATTTCCAGAAGGCGAGGAATTGAGGCTGGTCGTGCAATATGATGTTGCGAACAGTCAACTTTTGTATGCCGCGTGGAGAATCCACGATCGTGGAAATCACCGCTCATACCGTATGGCGACAAATGATTGAATCGAAGCCACGCCGATTGTCTCCACGATAGTGGAGAAACTAAACTCCACACAAGCCAGTCAGGGTCAGATTGCTGCCAGCAATGTCAGCAAAGGAAGGCGTTCTTAGACTCAGTTCTCGGTGTTTCGTGTTGCATGCACCGCCCGAAGCTACCGCGGGCACCCTCCGTATCTTTGCACTTGCATTCAATCGATGAAATCAGATGATCTCCTTAGGTCGGGCCCTCTTCTCCGTCGTGCCAGTGAATAAAGACATTCCGATCCTGCGGCTTCGGCGTGTCATCCGGTTCTTCGTTCGTATTGATCTCTGGTTTTCCCTTCGTCTTATCCTCCGGCTTGTCTTTCAGACTGTTCTCCAGTTTTTCTTTCGTCTTTTTCGCCGCTTCCTCTCTCAGGGCGTCCTGTGTTTCTTCCGGTCTAACCTCCGGTATTTCCTCTAGTAGAGTGTCTGAAACGTTCTGTGCGTTGGTCATGTTCGTAATGATTCGCTGTATCGACACGGATGGACTCTGTGTTGACGGTGGTAGCGTTGGTTGTGGCGTAAAATTTGACTTTGTTGTCGACGGTGGCGGCGTGGGTTGTTGTTTTGGTCCCGGTGTGAAACGTGTCACCATTGCCGTGATTGCATTGACCACAGCGGTGACCGCATTTTGACGGTTTCCCACATCTCCACCCCTGTTTGTGAAGGAAACCCTCTCTGTGTCAAAGAAAAGACTGTCGCCTTGTGGCTCTGCAATCCAGACATGATTTTGAAGGTAGTCTTGGTAGTTTGCACTAAACATCACAGCAAAGATCTCTTCCGTGGTTGGAGCGGTTGCTTCATCCGTGGAAAAGGTTGCCATGAGGTCAAAGTCGAGTATAACGGGGAAGGTTTCGGCTGCGTCGAATGTCTCGGCTATGTTGGTAAGCATGGCACTCCCCGCAATGTACGTGGTTGGATAGGCCATCTGAAGAACCATGTCATAGAACGCATCTGTCTCCACCACCAAGCCATTGATTTCCTCTGTGGTTGGCTCTCTGACGGTGGTCGTTTCGAAAAACGTATATCCTAACCTCCCCTCTGCGACTCGTGTTGTGGAGAGAATTGTCGGGGCGGGACTAATGGTTGGTGCCAACGTTGGTGTCGAAGGATTTGAAAATGCTGGAGCCAGAATGACGCCCACGATTCCCCCCACGACAGCTCCAGCGGCAGCGCTTGCTGCGAGCCCACCAGCAATAGCAAGTCCCGTCACTGTGCCATCGTCTGAATCTGCGCTCTTGAACGAGATGCTCTTCATCTTGACGTTTTGATTGCTTTTCCAAGCGTAGTTGTCTCTGGCGTCAACATCTTCGAAGCTACCAGCTCTCAGCCTTCTTCCTTTAATTCTTTGGATCTTTCTTACTGGCCGGCTGTCTTCGGCAGTGATATCCTTCCATTGCGCCTTCCTCGTCAGTTTTGGCTCGTAAGAAGTGCGTTTGGGTGTCGATTTCGCAAAGGGATGCTCGAATCGCAAGGATATTGAATCTGTTGAAACTCCAGAGTCTTCCACCATTGAACGACCACCCCCCAAGGCGTATTGCTTCGTTGATTCGGCAGGTTCCATCGTCGTCTCTCCTAGTCTGTACCCAAAACAGTATATTGAAACTACCATCAAACCCCAGCACACCAATCTGGTTGTCTTGGATGTCCTTCTTCTCCGCAGTTCCACTTCATTTTCCAGAATTTGGTCAGCATCCTGATGAAGCTCTAGCGTCATGATGTCAAACAGTATTGGACAATATGCATGCCGTGATCCACATTAGTAGCCTTTCTTTGACTCACTCGATAGCAGCATTATCAACGCTCAATCGACCTGAAAAAATCTGGAAAAACACCGTTGGGTTGATCCCGCCGAAAACAGACCATTTTCGCATCCCCCCGCGATCCATTTGGGCGCGTGTGCGGGAATGGAGGCTCCCGACAAGACGAGCTGTGGTGGCCGAATGACAACACACGCACTGGAGACAACTAGCCAAACGACGCGCTATTGGCTTGGATCACATGTACATGGTTGCTAGCTAGCTAGTGCTGGTAGTTAGTGGAAGAAAGCCAGCAATGGGAATGCTTAGTAGGGAATGGGAGTCAATCCTCAGGGTTGTGCGAGGTGTGGTGTGGTGTTTGATACAAGAAAATGAGTTTACGTCTCCTACTGTGAATTGGTCTCCTGCAGGTGCGCCTCGTACTACCGGTAGGTTGACGCTCTCCCCACATGAATTGCTTTTATAAAGATATTGATAAAGGACAGTTATTATGATAGCTTGTTTATTTATTTGTTCCAACTTTAAACTACACAATGTTTCTACATGGCGCCACCAGACAGCTTCGTTTGTACTGTAGCTACGCTTGTTTTTTGTCTGCGTTGTTTCCCCGACATCCACAATGGATATGTCTTGCTGCGACGGCTTGATGGAAGACCGAGGCTTTTCATTGGCGGCAAGGGTACTGGTATACCGTATAAGGTGTATCCTGGGCGTGTCGATAGCTATCGGTGGAGTATAGCGTTTTGGCGTTGCTTGGCGATCTTTTTGACTGCTTCCTCGTCGCTCGAATTTATGCAAAGACATCGGGCTGTTGAAAGAGCGCTGCTTTCATCATGATCTCGTAGACGGAAAAGGTGACGGCGTGGTTCACTGCTTGTCGCAACATCCGTGCTCCCAAGCCATCGTAGAATGGCTCCCAACCAGCTGTTTGGTACAAGTCGACAGCAATTTCCCAGGGAGACTTGCTAATGTCGGTACTGTCGGCATCATCTCCTTCGGTATTGAGAGCAGCCGTCCGAATGACATCAATCGGATAAATGGGCAGCCAACAGGCACATCCAGCGGCAGCTCCGTACAATGCCGGTGTCAGTGTCGGTCCCAACAGAGCCGACAGATCTGTACAGTAGGCTTGCAATCCACCGTACACGCCAAAGTAGAGCGAATACGCAGGAACCTCTCGGATCATCGTGACAAACAATCCTCTCCCTAAAAGACCCTTCCAACCTTCTCGTTGCAAGACGGCATCGACACACTCGGTTTCATCTCCATTGTAGCATTCGTGATCGGCACATTGCATCAAGACTTTGATGCGGTCCACAGGAGCCGCCAAGAAGGATGTCACAAATCCCGCCAGTGCGGCGGCACTCAGTAGTTGCAAGGCAGTGTGATCGCCAAACAAATGATGCTCTCTAGAATACTGCAAGACGGCCGCATTGACGGCAAATACCACCGCCTTGATAATGGCTTGACCCAACATGCTCGTGGAGACACCGGCAAAGAACCCGGGAATTCCTGCGGTTTGATAAATATACTGCGACACTTCCATCATGCTGGCACCGGCCGTGGGCACTGGAATGGCAGAGGCAATCGACAGTCGTCCTGTCGAGTCCACAGTCAGATCCATCTGATCTGTGCCAAAGTCTACCAGTGGCTTACTACTGTCGCTCTTGTTTTCACTGTCGTTGTCGTTGCTGCTCTGTTTCTTCTTTTGGAGTACCTTGGCGGCCGTCTTGGTGGTCATTTCGGTCTGTGAAGCAGCCAATACTTGCGATTTCGTCTTGACCGTGTCAATGGGGTGGGCCACACCGACTCCCAAAGCACCGGCCACAGACCCCGCCAACAGCGAGGCGGCAGCGGCAGGAATCACATTCAGCTGCGAGGAACGACTCGTACTGGGCAATGGAGCAGCCACATGGGAGGGAACAAAGGCACAAGTGGTTGCCAGAGACGCGGCAAGCAGAACAAGATGGCGGCGTGGGATCATCGTTCCAGGTCGAATTGCCAAAGAAAATGGAATGGAATGCAAATGGGCTGTGGTGTGGTCGCTTTTTCTCATGGTGAGACAAGCAAGAAGAATTGTGACGAGGTCCCACACAAAAACACACACCAATAATGCGAACAGTTCCACGCAGACAATAGGAGACAGCTGCGTACTTGAATTGGCCTATTTCGTCGTGGGGGTTCCAGCCATCAGCAGCCATCAATGCTTCCAGCGCTCCAACAGGTGGATGCTGCAAATACACGTTCGTTTGTCGGAATCCCAGGTGCTCTTACGGAACCAGATAGGTGTTGCAGATGCCCTGAATGAGAACCAACGAATTGTGAGCTACGAATTTCGCCGTTTCTTTTCCAAAGTCTGGTCCCTTCCGGCATTCACAGATTACGCCTTTAAATCTAGCTAGACCCCCTGTCATTTATGAGCTACGATGACGTGGTATTTTCCGCGCATTCGAATTATTTAAAACCCAGCAGAGCCATCAAGGCAAACAGCCCCGCCGGGATGGGCGAAAGCCGGGACGCCCTCTTGCCGAAGGCAAGGTGGTGATTTGAAAGTCATGGTGGGTAAAGGAAGGGATCGGCAACACCATTGGTAACGTCGCTCAGGGATAGATTCATTAACAATAGGTAGAAGTAGTCTTTACTACTTTCTTAGAACTGGTTCTCTGGTTCTCTGGGACCCAAAATGAATGTCCTGTGGAAGATAAGGTCAAGGCATCAACGAAACAGTGGAACTTCCTGGAACTATGCATCAAACATAAACTAATACAAGATGTATTGTACAGCTAGCTAGCCAGCCTGGCAGCGACTGTTATCATCGGAAGAAAGCATCCCAAATGGAACCCCCCACCGCAGCCGTTGTCGCCACCGTTGCATGGTTTTCCTTCTGTTTCTTCACGCACGTATAAATCACAGCAATGGTCCCCACAACTGCAGCTTCCACATAGACAAGGTACCCCATGCTTGCACCAAGAGACACGAGGAGGCCAGGGCAAGTGACATAATGTATAGAAAGCAGGCCATCACACCAAACCTCGTGTTGATGTTGCTCGTTCTCTGATTGCTGTTCTGCACTAAGCCCACACCGGATTTGATCTTGCCCACCACACACCTGGGCATTCTTGTTGTAGTCTTCACAGGAAAGAGGCCACAGGGAACATGGTACCCACTTGCCAGCCGCATACCTGTCACCTAGAAAGGTATCATCTCCCCAGAAGCGTTCATCCGTGTCAATCATGGGCTCTCCAGTGGGCACATTTCTATTGGACCTGTTGGTTGCGTCAAGATCACCAGGGTGCTGGCAAAGATCCTTTAGTTCACTTTCATTGCATTCATCAAACAAACTTAGATGACGTTTGGAGAAGACCACAATTGGGGCCGATCGAAAGAACGTGTCGTTCCAAAGAAAGTATTCTGTAGAATTGGTGTTGTGAAAGAATTTCCAGTCGAGTTCTGAATCCAGGAAGTCATCATCGTAAATTTGCTGTGCTCTGAATTCCTCCACACTGGGACGGTCAGTTCCCGGTACCAATGGGACAGTGCAATCATGGTACTTGTGAATTGAGGTGTTGTAGTTGGCAAGGCAAACACGTGACGTTACATTTTGGTGCTGCTGGTGATGGCTGTTGTCATCATATCCACACCAACAGTCAAATGTATGCTCTTTGGGATTGTAAGCGTGGAATCCAAAGTCAGCAACAACAGTGGAACAAGCTTCGGCACAGCCACCTGAATAGTAATAGTATTCGTCGTCCCAAAGAGCATCTTGCGAAAACCGATGCCAATACCCGGTCTGGTCTTGGGCAATGTTGTTGGGGTCGAAGAGTGGTCCAAATGGCAACTGTGCCGGAATTCCCTTCCAACCAGGGGCAACAAAGTCGTAGCCAAATCGCGAAAGATCCACATTTGCGTCGGTGTGTCCATGATCTCGAGAGAACCACTGATGATACTTCTCATTTGTTGTCATGTAAATTTGCATGTTGATTGTGGACTAATGGTTGAATTAAGGGTGGTGAGCAACGGAGACACACTGTAAAGCGAGGGTGTTGATACTCGTAGTAGGTCATCGCACCATGTGTGCTTACCGTACTGCAAATGAATTGTCCATTGCTGGGATCGTACTGATTCGTGATGTGTTCTACACTCCAGTCTTCGTCGATCATACTAAAACCAAAAATGAGATCAACAAAAAGCAAAGGCAAAGCTGAGTTTGACATTCCTCCTGTTACTGGATTTCCCTTCTCTCTGCATTTCCAAATCCAAGTTTCTATGATACGGTACCTACCTGATGACAGTCATGCAATCATTTCGGGTGAGGGAGGTGTATATCAACAGGAATGCAATCTGACAAATCAAAGACACCAACACAACGAGGAGTGCCGTCTTCCAGGTGAAAACAACGTTAGAGATGGTGCGCACGTGTTGGACCAAGCACTGCCCCAATCGTTTGAGTAGGGAGGGCGACGATTTTCCCATGATGGAATTATCATCCAGGTCTTTGCGTTCCAGCTGTTCAATGCGTTCCATCAGCGCTGTGATTTGTTCATCTTTGTGCGTTTGTTCTTCCAAGAGCCGAATGCGTTCTTCCATGAGCCCCATGATTTTCGCATCATTGGTAGTGCTGGGGGCAGTTTTGTAGTAGTGGATCTCTGGTTCTTCCGCCACCTTGTCATTCCCAAGGTGATTGCCTGTCAGACTGTCGCTGATCTGTGAAACCCGTGTGGATCTTTCGCGTGGTTGTTCGGGAGTGGGATTGTCAGTTTTATTTGGTGGCTGTGTGAGTGCTTCGTCTTGGAGTCCTTCCTTGATTTTGGCAGAGAATGATCTATTGGTGCTGACTGCCCTCCTCTGCTTGTCTGTGTTGAGTGCCCTCAACATGAGACTGGTGGCTTCTTCTTGTCCCAGCAGAGTCCTGAATCGAAGCTCAATGGAAGGCTCTGGTGGGCGAAACGAAATCACTAAAAGTGTCTTTTTCACATGAACCACCTTCACCACTGTCCACCATTTCCCATTGATGGTACATGTACCAGTAGTAGCGACATCCTCAAAAGCGATGCAATCACAGTTGCCACTTTCATTGTCGTAAAGAACATTGCCATCACCATACCCATTTCCTGTTGATTTGTCGTCATCCTCAAACCAAACCTCACCAGTGGAACCATCCACAGAGGGATAGAAGATCAGGGCATCATCAGTGATGGACAGACTTCCTCCTTGGCCATTCCATTCACAATCAAACCTCTTCATTACTCTAGAGTACAAGGCTTCTTGCGAAAGATACCGGTGACAAATAATGAGTCTCTGCAGACTGCAGTGTTCTCTCCTGTGCCGAATTTCGCCGGGACGCAGCTTCGAAGTGGCAGGTGCTGGAAAGATAGAGTTAAAGTTATGCGAGGCACCGGTACAGTAGTCTACCTGTCCCCGGAGGCAGGGCCGGGCTTTTCTCAAAAAGCGTGGTCACTGATCGTTCTAGCCTCGCTACATGTCGGTAGCACAGGTCGAGTCTTCGACGAAAGCAACAGATGGTTGAACGGACTTGAAATAACACTTCCAGCGGGCTTGGTACTCCAAGCTTTTAGCGGTTTCTTGGCTGAGAGCGTCATACAGTTACCGTACGGTGCAGTACCGGTAGCTTCGTGGCCCCGTGAAGTCTTGGAATCCACCCCTAGTAGGATTCCAAACCTAAATGAAGAAATCGAATCGTTGGTCTTGTGTGGCTTTCAGTTTTGTTACTTGGAGGAACATGCACTACCTAGCTAGTTTTCTGCTCTCGGAAGTCAGAGGAAATGAAGGAGAGTCTTTAGCAGGATACAAAAGCAGTTCATATTTCGGAATATCAACAAGTACAGTGCGCCCGCTGGCTGAGAGGAAGGAGAAAAGAACGGAGTTTCTGCCAGTCGTTGCTGCACTTGATCTTCCGTCATTCTGATCAAAAAGAAAAGCGACGGGTTCTCTCTTCCGCCAGATCTAAATATGCCGGAGGAGTTCCTTTGATCACGCCCAAATGGCCCCGGTCAACTCGAATGCCATGTTGATGATGGTGACGAACCTCAAGTTGTCGTGTTGATCCAACATTGAAAGTGACATGGTCACGAGCACGGTGCCTTGAGGGCTCTCTTCGGCCGGTAGTGGCGATCACTTGGTCTTGGGTGGTCGGGGGGCGACGGCGTTCTTGACCCCGCATTGACCTTTTGCTTTCGTCCAAATGGCATTGATTGCTGCGGTCGCGTGGAGGCGCGCCCCGCATTGATCTTTTGCTTCCGTCCATTTTGCCCTTTTGAATTTGGATTCGGTCACGCCGGGATACTCGCTCGCGCCGGGGTCCTCGGTGGCGCTCAGGGACTTGGTGAAGATGGGATGGCTTGCCGTAGCCCAGGATGCGCCGACTTGTGTTGGATCGTTTGCTGTAGTCCATGTATGGTCCTCTACTGGTTGTACTGGATCTTCCGCTTGCGTCCGGATCACAATGACCCGACCGACGACGACGGCCCTGGTTTTCATCCATCAGGATGAAGTTGAGAAATGGAGTTGCAAAGGTTGCGGCGTTTCCAGCTGTGTCTACTGCAGCATGCGATGCCTTGGAGATCCCTTTGGTTGCAATGGCCCCACCCTTCACGACACCTTTGGTTGCCATGGCTCCGCCCATCACAACACCTTTGGTTGCAATGGCCCCACCCTTCACGACACTTTTGCTTGCCATGGCTCCACCCATCACCATAATCTTTCCTACCTTTTTGGAGCCACCCATCACAACTTGAGTGGTCTCGCCAACAATGGCCTTGGATCCATCCACAACAGCAGTGGAGGCCTCCCAAATTGCATGAAGTGGCTCTATTGATCGTCTAGGTCGGCCGTTAGAGACTTGCTGGGAACCATCCAGGCCGCCCTCCTGCCAGTTTCCCTCCAACACACCACTGGCGCTCAAATCTGGGGCATTTGTGTCCAATTGCCCTGAGGGGGATTCCTCAACGTCTCCAGAGCGTCGGATAGAGGCCACAGTTTGAGACCGACCGAAAGGTGCCCCCGCTTGCCCAGGTGCTCCCTCCTGACCAGTGGAGCGACGGAGGGAGGGAGTTTCTGGAATATGGGTGGTTCTCCTGAGTGGTGCAAAGGCCATTGCAGTGTCTGCAGCAGCATGGGATGCCTTGCTAATTCCTTTGCCAGCCATTTTTCCACCCTTTACAACCATCTTTCCCACTTTCTTGGAGCCACCCATGACAACTTGAGTTGTCTCGCCAACGATGGCCTTGGATCCATCCACCACCCATTTTGGTCCTTCCCAAATTGTTTGAAAAGGCTCTTGCGACCACCTAGGGTGGCCATTGGAGATTTGGTGTTCTTCGTCCAGAGCAACCTCTTGCAACTCTCCCTCGAGCAAATCACTGCCACTAAAATCACCTACATTTGTTCTACAGGGGGCTACCCCCAAATCTGCACAGTGACGTGCCGAGTCCACAGTTTGAGATCGACTGAAAGGTGCTCCCCCCTGCACAGGTGCTCCCCTATGACCAGTAGAGCGACGAAGTGATTGTGTTTCGGGGGTCTGGTTGGACCTTCTGAGAGGTTTGAAGGCCATTGCAGTGTCTGCAGCTGCATGGGATGCCTTGGTAATTCCTTTGCCGGCCATTTTCCCACCCTTTACAACCATCTTTCCCACCTTCTTAGAGCCACCCATAACAACTTGAGTGGTCCCATCCACAAAAGCTCTAGAGCCATCCACCACCCATTTGGATCCATCCCAAATTGCTTTTAGTGGCATGGGCTTGATGCCATCAGTAGATTGGGAGGAGTCTGAATCGTCCGCTCCAAGTGCATGGCTAGCGCTATGATGCCTTCTCGCTCTCCGATGGCTCTGCGTTTGTCCCGGACTCATAGACTGTCGCAGAGAGTGCCGCAAAGAATGGCGCCTGGAAATATCTTCAATCAGACCTTGCAAACTTACTGACTCTCGTCGTTTGAAACGCTCGAGGGAGTCTGGATCGTCAAAGCTTCCAACTTGGTCACCATCGGAATCACTGTAGCCAGAGTCAGAATCACTGTAATCAGAGTAATAGGATTGGTGGCTGGAATTTAAGTTGTCATGCCCTGCCTCCAGATCCACGGAAGCTTCGTCTTCAAAGTAAGATGAATCACTTGCAGCATCCTCTGGAATTGTAGGAGTATCTAATGGAAGATCTGCATTAGTGGATATGATGGTGACGCTGTGAGCGTCGTCAGGTTGTGGAGTGCAATCTGTGTCTTCCGTTGTTTCTTCCTTGCTACTATCGCGAAGCTCCTTGCTGGTCCCTTCCTCCACTGCAGCCTCTTGGCCCAAAGAGAATTGCTGTTGCTGTTCAGCATCATCGATCTTGCTAGTTGTTTCCTCCGCTGTGGCCTCTCGATTCAAAGGGCACTGTTGCTCTCCCACATCAAGCCCCTTCCTGGCTGCTTCCTCCGATTCGGTCTCGTCATCAACAGCGGATTGTTGCTCTCCCGCCCTTTTTTCAGGAGCACGTTCAATCGAATCGTCCTGCTCTTCATCGCTAGAGTTTCCCTCCCGCACGGCTGACTTCTTGTCCTCTTCGAAGGTGTAGTTTCTGTTCCACAACTTTTGGTGTTCTGATAATGCCGACATTGCTGATTCGTCGCTCAACATGGAGTGTCGGCCTCGAGGACCTATACTTTCATTCGAATCGTAGCGACTCGGCGGCAGGTTCAAACCGGAGATTTTGACGCTGCTCCTACTTCGAGAGCTAAATGGGCGAGAGCTCCTTGTCATTGTACTGCCCGCCGTGGAGAAATGAGACATCTTTGACTTTCGATCCATGAACTGCGAACCGGTCAAGCGAATATCCAGCAACTGTCGATAAGTCACCCTTAGTTCATTGCTGATTGTGTGCTCGACATAGAAAGCAATGCAAGGCACAAGCAAAACTACACATAGCACCTGGAGCTGATTCGGTCGCCATCCCTGAAAGTCTTGCGAACAGTGATTGTTCAGCTGTTGATTGCTGTCCGCAACATATGTTACGGATAGCATCCCCAAGAAGTGCAGAAGACAGACAGCAGCCGCCATGACTCCAGCCGCGGCTACCCGATACCAACCCTTTTCCACTTTCCAGTGCAGTGGACGAAAGAGGATCCAAAATGCCGCAAAACAAACGAAGGCTCCCAAGAGGGCACTTCCGCCCACAAAGCCCCAGTTCCATTCTCTTCGAAAAGGCCCCTCTACAGATATCATGCCCACATAGTGCATTGAGAGTGCCCCCACTGCAGCAAACACACTTGCGACTGCAATCCAATGGAGCTTTTGTTCACGTTCGCAGGGCAGGCAGCGTTAGAGTCCATCGAACACTTCATCCTTTCGATATCTCTTAGCTCGTGAACCTACCTTGTGGAAGAGGGCAACCATGTGAATATGATGGCTTGCCTTGCCTCGGTTCAGCTTCGATGATACATGCCTGTTCCCGGCCAGAAGGTGCTTCAGTATTTCCACCCTGTCTTCGCCTGCAAAAATGTCGTTGGACGCCAGTCTTACTCCGGCCCAGAACCCTGTAACACTCAAGAGCATCGAGCCCAGTGATGGTGCCCAGTTGTAGCACACGTTCACGCCATCCAGCACCACGGCTTGCATCCCAACCATATGCATCGACCATACTGCACACATTCCCAATACAAAGGCAGTGGCAAACTTGGGGTATCTGGATATGATGGCTACGAATTTCAGGAACAAACCGGATCAAGGTGAGAGTGAATGGCTTACTGGAGTCCGAGCTGCTGCCAACATGAAACTTACTGGTCGCATTATCCCTTTCTCGTTCCGATCTCCACAAGCCATGCTCCAGTAATCTGATGGCTGAGTAAGACCCCAGGAAGGCAATCACATAGGCCAAGACGACAAAGCCAATCTGCCATTGTTGTTCTATTTCTTCGCCATCCTCGTAATACAACTCATCATCTTGCTGCTCGATGACCGACGTATCAAACTCGGCCGGTATTATTGTTAAGTTATTTCCTTCCTCTTGCGTGGTATTGATGATATCGAGAGTGATCATGGCTACTCTATATATCAATAGCTCGCGTCCTTGTCCTTTTCCTTGTCGTCGTTTGATAGTCTTTGTGTTGCTCTTGGCAAAAATAGATCCTGCAGAGAGCTAGCTAGCTTTGAGCCCTTGGGATTGTGCCGAACGGACTCGCTTTTGATGACTTCAACCACTGAGCTTCTTAGAGATGGTTGCTGCCAGTTGTGTCTATCCATTGTCCCCCTCGAATAGGTAGCTGGTAGATAAAGGAATGCTTCCACATGTCCAAGAACTGCTCCTACTGGACATTAACGCACAAAGCGGAGTTCTCGAATGCCCAGTAAATACATCGTCAAGGCTTCTTGGTCAGATGGAATGATGGTTGCCTCTTTCCTGGACTCAAAGAACCATTCAAAGCCTATTGAAACATTGCTTCAACCACTGTGGTGACATCTACAGCCAAACTGGAAGAAAGCATCGTGCGATCCCGTGGTTGTTCAAGTTGTGTTGTTGTGGTTGGTTGTTGGATCTTGCTTGGACCTGAGGAGGTTAAGGATTTCAGTCACGTACCGGTACGGTACGTGACCCACCCTTCAATTTTCTCTTAGAGTTTCCACGAGTGGGGGTTGGACCAATCGTTCCGAGGAAAGCTCATTACAGCAGTAGTGCTACTAAATAGTAGACTCTAGCTAGGCCAATGACTGAATGGGTTGTCGAAGTTTGAAGGAATGCCACTCAACGAGGATTGGGCGACTTTGCGACTGCGGTACGGCTAGACCTACGTAAGCAATACGGTAGTTAGCTAGCTATCACATACAAAGATTTGTTCCAGTAATCCCAAGCAAGTGGAGACTTCCAAAGACTTGAACTCATCTACTATCTACCTGGCATCTCGTCCTGAACTGGAGCTTTTCATGCATGATTGCACCCAGCAGCAGCATCGAGGTCAATTTCTCAAGCCCGAAGTCCAACAAATTGTAGCTATAAAAGACCTTTCTACTCTTCGCAGCGACCTGCCTACTACAACTGTCTTCGTTATGCTCTTTTCTCATGCTCAGAAGATACTATCTTTTCTTACCGTTTCGGTCTCCCCTTCACAATCCTTTGCTTCTTCATCCCTGCTCCCCGCTACCGGTACATGTACAACCGTCCAACCAAGATGGCCACAATATTATTGCAGCAATCACGACGATGCAATACCGACATGTTGGGCAGCTTCACTACAACCTAGTAACTACATGATTTGCCCTCTACAGCACATAAATCTATTTGGCTGGAGATGTAGCCACTCTCAAAGCATGATTGGTTTAAATAATAAGCTATCATACGCTTTAGGGCATAAATTGACGCGGCAGAGAGGCTTCCATCTGTTTATCCGGGCCGGCATCCGTAGTTACAGTATCTATCCCTGCGCTTCAAAATGATCTTCTCTCAGCTTGGCCGTTCCATCTCCTTGCAGGACCCACAATTCCTTGGTAATGACACCCTTGGCCTTGCATGATTGGTTTAAATAATAAGCTATCATACGCCTTAGGGCATAAATTGACGCGGTAGAGAGGCTTCCATCTGTTTATCCGGTCCGGCATCCGTAGCTACAGTATCTATCCCTGCGCTTCAAAGTGATCTTCTCTCAGTTTGGCAGTTCCATCTCCTTGCAGGACCCACAATTCCTTGGTAATGACACCCTTGGCCTTGTTCATTTTCCAATTGGATGACAGAACAACGCTATCGGCACTGACGACTTCCAACTTGGTTGCTTCCACATACTCGACCTCGGAAAATCCATCGTCGATGAGTTTTTGCCAAAAGCCTTGAATCTCTTCGGTTCCCTTGAATGTCCCGAATGGTTTGGCTTCCATGAGGGCGGTGCTTTCGTACTGCGCCGCACATCCGGCGGCATTGCCCGAATTGAAGGAATCCTTCCATAGTTTCGAGGCTGCCTGGGTCGCCGACAAGACCGCTTCCTTCTCGCTATCACTTACTCCGCTCATGGTTTCTCAGGGTGGTTTATAAAAGTAACAGCAGGCAGGAAGAAGAAAAACAAATTATGTGATGTTTATGAGGGGGTTCTGCTCTTTTGCATCTCGATTGTTGTGGATCTTGCCTTGAGAGAGTGAGACCTTGCAACCGAGTTTGGCTTGTCTTGCTTGGACACGGTGTTGTTACGCGGAAGAGCAGCTGTGCGCTCCGAAGAAAAGATAGTATTTGCACGTTTCAAAATGACCGTGACAGGGGTATCAAATGTTTCAATGACCCCGACTCGAAAGATCCACTTCCAAAAACTGCCAACCACAAGAACTCAAGAACTCTGAAGCAACCTGCTCTTCCAGCCCACTTTCGTCGGCAGGCTATCTAGCTACAGTAGTACTGTGGCCAGGGGACACCATAAAAAGGAGAGAAAGAAAGCAAGACCATGAAGTTCAAGAATCCGTTCAGAGGCAGCAAGAAGGGAGCGGAAGACGCCGAGGCATCCGCCATTGTAGCAGAGGAAGACGCCTCGAAAAAGGAGCAAGACGTTCCCGCGTCCAAAAGGGCTTCTCAAAAGGAGGACGTTGCCTCTAAAAGACCTTCGAAGAAGGCTGAACCAGCCAAGAAGGCGGACGAGAGAGCCTCGATGAGGTCCTCCGCCAAAAGTCCTCCCAAAAAGGATCCACCACCTGCCACCTCCAAAAGAGCTTCCCAAAAGGTTCCACCGGCTGCCTCGAAAAAGGCGACAAAGAAGGACGAACCGACCGTGGTAGATCTTCCCGAGAACTATGTGGCGTTTGTGTTGCCGGGAGATGCCGACCAAGAGCCATCGGCCAAGGATGTGGAGATTTGGAGGAAAGGAACCGTCCAGTACATTTCCAAAAAGCTCAAGGCTCAATACGACTCCTTCTCGCAGTTGCAACTGCAAATACTCGAGACTCAGTTTGGGCAGGGGAAACCAGCTCCACGATTCCATTTATTTTTGAGAATTAAAGCGGATGTACACTTCAACACGTCTCAACAACAAGACGTCGCCGAAGTCTTTGAGCAGTACATTAGTTCCTTCCAAAAAGACTACCTCGAAAAGGGACTTCGACCACTCCAAAAATGCTCCCTCAAATACGCCAAAGAAGTCCGGGCGCGGCGTCTGGGATCCCAAGAAGCAGGAGCCGTCACGGCACCCAAATTCTACATTGCCTTTATCGTGAAGGAACCAGCCAAGGAACCAACCCAAAAACAAAAGGACGACCTGGTGGAATTGGCCAACAAGGAATTTTCGCAACTCCTGACAAATGAATTTGAAGATGCCTTTGACAAATTAACCACGCTCCAAGTGACTGGTACCGAGCTCAATGCCGGCAAACCAGAACCCGATTATAATCTGTACATTGAAATGGAAGCCGTGGCTGCCTTTACGCGAGACGTTCCCGAACCGATGGATCTGTTTCGACCCATGGCGATTACGTCCGCGGAGTTTGGCAAAGACATCAAGGCCAATGTGATTAAGGATTACAGCATGCTGGTCGTGCGCTGCACGTACGTCGAAACCTTGCCAGAACCAGACGAACCACCGCCACCCCCCGATGACGACAATGAGGATGGAGATCCCGCCGACGGCGACGATGACAGTCCAGAAGGGGGGGAAGGAAAGGGATCTGTCGAAACCGTCAAGATGGAATTGGGATTCTACGTGGCACTCGTCCTGCAAGATCTGGAAGGGATACCCACCAATCCACAAGTCATGGACAAAATGTTGACCGAGTTTTTCACGGATTCTCTGGCGGCCAGTTTTCCCAATTTTGTCAATATCCAGATCGAAGGCAGCCCCGAGTACGAAGCGGGAATTCCATTGCCGAGATTCAATCTGCTGCATCCCTACACGGCCACCCTGGAGTTTGAACATCCACCTCCAGAAGGCGATGATGTCCTGAAAAAGATTCTTTATTGTGATCTCCAGAGCCTCTACTCGAAAATCAAAGCACTGCCGCCCCCTTACAATGACATGCTGGAATTCACACTGGGGCGTGCACTGGAACAGCAAGTCACCGACCAGGCATATGGGGGCGAACTGGATGATGAGCAGAAACGAAAGGAAGCGGCACGGAAAGCAGCAGAGGAGAAGAAGAGAAAGGAGGAAGAGGCTGCTAGAAAAGCTGCGGAAGAAAAGAAAAGGAAGGAGGAAGAGGCAGCCAGGAAAGCTGCGGAAGAAAAGAAAAGGAAGGAGGAAGAGGCAGCCAAGAAAGCTGCTGCAGAGAAGAAGCAGAAGGAAGAGGCAGCAAAGAAGGCTGCAGAGGAAAAGAAAAAGAAAGAAGAGGCAGCAAAGAAAGCTGCAGAAGAAAAGAAAAAGAAGGAAGAGGCAGCCAAGAAAGCAGCTGCAGACAAAAAGCAGAAGGAAGAGGCAGCAAAGAAAGCTGCAGAGGAAAAACAAAAGAAAGAAGAGGCAGCAAAGAAAGCAGCTGCAGAGAAGAAAAGGAAGGAGGAAGAGGTAGCAAAGAAAGCCGCAGCAGACAAGAAACAGAAAGAAGAGGCAGCCAAGAAAGCAGCTGCAGAGAAGAAACAGAAGGAAGATGCAGCAAAGAAAGCAGCTGCAGAGAAGAAACAGAAGGAAGAGGCAGCAAAGAAAGCCGCAGAGGAAAAGAAAAAGAAAGAAGAGGCAGCAAAGAAAGCCGCAGCAGACAAGAAAAAGAAGGAAGAGGCGGCCAAGAAAGCTGCTGCAGGCAAAAAGCAGAAAGAAGAGGCAGCAAAGAAGCCTGCTGCTGACAAGAAGAAGCAGGAAGCAACTCGTCGCAGCAGCGACATCAGCGTCGATGATGGACCGACTGAGATTGTGGGAACCGCCGACGTGTTCATGGCATTGAATATTCCACAATGTCCACGTGAGCCCACGAAAAAGGACTACGATGCTCTGAGAGCTACAACTCAAAAGTTCTATACCAAACATCTGAAAAAGACTTTTCCCACAACCTTTCTCAAGGTGGAGGTGGCTGTGGCCGTTGCAGCCTTCGGTGAGAACAAACCAAACGACAAATACAACGTGTATTTGGAATGGGATATCAATGCAATTTTCAAGCAATCAGGAGATGCACCAGATCGCTTCAAGCTCTGTAATTCTCTGATCACCATTGATTTCAATGTCTATGTAAAAGACCACGTTTGGTCCTTGCAAGGCACTCCGTTTACGGGTGCTCGTGCAGTGTACACTCAACAAGTGAACTCGTGGAAGAAGTGAATCCTCTAGCATGATTTTTAAGTTAGATGCCGGGGAATAATTGGTCAAAAAGACCTTGCATACATCTTCATCGTGCGTTTCTCAAGGATCTTGGATAGTACTTGCACAGCGCCAGCAACCGACGTGGCATCGTGGCCTAAACACTCTTGATGGGTTTCTTGGTCGGAAACGGGGAGGACCGATCGTACTGTTTCTTGGTATCATGAGAGCTGACTTCGCCTTCTTGGATCGCGTCAATGCAAAAAGATTTTCGCGAAAATCTTGAGGTTTGGTTCTGGCCCCTTTCAATAGATGGGGCCTTTGTTTGGAGTCGTGTCTTCACAAACGCCGCCGTAACGAGTCTTTACAAGCGCCGCCGTACGAGAGCGAAGGCCGCCTTATTCGAACGACATAGCCAGTTCAAGTTTGGCAGCCGCCGAAACCCTACACGTACCTGCGAGCTATCTGTAAATTCTCCCAAGTTTGTCGTCCATACGCAATGCATCTAGCTAGCTAATCTTGATGAAATGTGCAATTGAGTTGTACACAACTCGTGCAAAGAGGGGCCGATTCTCGTACTGGGATCTCAGCTTAGCGGCTCTCCTCGGGACCGTGCAATCAGGAGCAAATGTGTAAGGGCAGACGATGGAGTCTCCGACCGTAGAGAGTTCCTCACTCAAACTGGTGGGTCAACCATGTTACCATCGGCGAAGCTTGCTGTGGAATCATGAAGGAAGCTGGTGGTGCTCGCATCCGCTGTGTGGCTGGTGAAGGAATCACGACCCAAGTTTTCGCTCGAGTGGATACGAAGATGTTCTTTGATATCGTTCCTGATCCTATCGAGATCTTCTCTGTCCTTCATTTGGAACTGGTAGGACTTGTTTCTTATTCGGTGGGTGATTTTCAGGAGGGCTTTGGGTCTGCCAGCTGCATTGCCTAGATGCTTTTGAATGTTCGACCACGCCACTTTGACTTTCTTCTCTCCGTAGTACGCCAGGCCCTTGGAATTCAGTACAATCGTCCCTGCATCTTTCTCGCCGTCAAGCCTGGTATCAAAGTACTCAGATTTGACAGGTTGTGGTAGTTTCGGTTCCTGTGCACCATCGTCAGGGTGAACCATGTTGGTGGTGGACCTGGTCCCTTTAGCCGCATGGTAGCCTGCTTTTTCAAGTCTCCCTTCGTCATCCCATTTGGCAACAATGGTGAGGTCTCCTGAAATGTTCCTCAAGAGCATGTTACAGTATTCAGCTGATTCCGAGCAATCCATTCCATTCACTGCGACCACTCGCATCCCAACCTCTAGATTGGTTCCCTGTAACAACCCAAATTCATTGATGCCTGAAATCACGGGTCCATGTTCCCTCTGAAAGCTAATACCAACCATTGCATCCTTGGTGGGTTTGTGCATTGTAATGGTTACCATGCCTGTTCTCGGGTCCTTGTAATCTTCAACAATCAAAGCTGTTGATGTCTCATTGGCCAGGCTGCTGCTCGTGGGATCCCATTTGGCCACAATTGAAAGGTCTCCTTTAATGGACATCAAGAGCATGGTGCAATACTCTGCTGACTCGGAGCAATCCATCCCATTCACTTTGATCACTCTCATCCCCACCTCTAGATTTGATCCCTGCAACAACCCAAACTCCTTGATTCCTGATATGACTGGCCCGCATTCCTGCTGAAAGCTAATACCAACCATTGTGTCTTTGGTAGGTTTATGGACTGTGATGGTCACCATGCCTGTCACTGGATCCTTGTAGTCTTCTTTGATGATAGCAGTTGTGTCATTCGCGATGCTATTGTTTGTGGAATGCCCTGAGCCAGCGTGGAATGCATATGCATCTTCCGGTTCCTCCATGATATCATCCTCCGAGATTATTGCAGAACTGTTTGGGTCACAGCTTGGGTGATTGGGTACGGCCTCTTCCACCACTACTCGTTCCAGATCGTCTGGCATGTCGGCCACGACGTCATCTTCGTTCTCGTCTTTGACAGGAGTGCTCCACTCTCCCCGGTTTTTCGTTTTGCAACAGCAATTTCCATTTTGCCAGCACAAGTAGAAGCAACCACCAAAGATGATGATGCCCAGAATTGGAAACAAAATGGCGAGCCCAATGACCGACGCATCGACTCCACCCCCCTTCCATTCGCAATTGTTCTTGCGTTTACATTTCTCCTCTGCGAATAAAATGCTACAGTCCTCGCTGTACTTGGTTTCGCACGATTTGCTGCACGAGTAGTAAGATCCACCGGTATTGTGGTAGGTAGTGTGGCAATTGGAGGATGTGATTTGCGCCCAGCAGCCGTATTGACCGTTGCATTCGGAAACGTCAAAGGAACTGCAAGATTTGTCTCTTCGGCAGTATCCTAGCACTGTGCTGGGAGCTACCAAAAGTAGTAGCAGCAGCCAGATCGCCATTGTTGGTAGACACATCGTGGTACGGCTGTACCGGTACAGATCGTTTGAGGAGTGCCCATGGATAGAAGACACCATCGCCCGTGCATGACGGAGAGACTTGCCATGGATCTCATTTGGAACATCACCTGAAGTTGGGGTGAGTGATGAGAATCTCTGTGTCACGTCTGGTACTGGTACCAGGTACAGGTACTTCCCTGCGGTTCTGTACCTGCAGGCCTGCGGATGGGTTTCGAATTGTTTACGGTATTTCATGTACCGGTGGCTATGCATAGCTAACTGGTGGATCTGGCTATCGGTACTGGAACACTTTGGCTAGGCTAGCTAGCCTGCTTTCATTCATGGAGCCACCGCCAACCACTGTTTCGTAAAACGGTGGTCACTTTCACCACTGCTGATCACCCGTTTATTGCAACTGTTACCACTGTCTTTACCACTGTCTTTAGCACTGTTTACCACTGTCTTTTTTGACAGCGGTTGACAGTGGCACTGTCCACCACTGTTTGGTCATGGTTTACCTTGGTTGGTATGGGTTGCAGGGGATTCTCCACCCCCCTGGCGGAGAAGGAGCAGTCCATGCTAAAAGTGGTACAATGATGAACCTGCCCCACTCTCAAAACCCCTTGGCTCCGTCTTTGAGCTCCATCATCCCACTTGAAAATTTTGATTCACAGCTCTGCTGCTTTCATAAGATTTCATCCCAACATCCAACGGTCTTGGCGAGTGGAGGTTATTGATAGGTAGTACACAAGCGTATATAGTAAAATATTACTGTCACGGATTGTACTGTAGTTTGCGATACTTAGCAAATTCAAATTTTGACTCCTAACTCCCGTGTGTCAGTTGGGATCTTGTAAGACCTTGGAAGACTTATTCGGTGAGGTGCGTCGTACCTCTGGCATCAAACGACCTCACTTTTTGGTCTCCGTACCGAATTCGCGCAAAGTGGTCAAGTCATTGGATTGGATTCCTACACAGTCAACTACAGCAAAGCTGGTACATCATCATGTTGCATACTGCTAGTGCTGCTTTTAAGAGGTGGCTAGATGTTAACAGTCGCTACCCATTCAATGAAATTCGGAAGACCAGGCAGAGCTATGAACTCAAGTATGTTTTGTTGGTAGATGAAACTGACAGGGCAAACAGGTACAGTCAGTACTTTGTTCTAAAGGTAAAGTACCTTCCCAGTGTCATGATAGAGCAACTCATAATGGAAGAAAAAGCTGTGCCCATGACACCTGATATGACTTGGATTCTGGAGACCATGACTGGATGGGGAGTGAGGCAGAGCTCTGAGTGGTACAGTGATGTCCTTGCTCTGCTTGCTTTGGTAGTGGAGGAAGGAGATCCTATGACAAAGAAAGAGTTGTGCAGCATGATAGTTAGACCACTTATGAGGGATGCTCTCTATAATCAGTTTGGTGTGTGGGAGTGGGAAGCCAAAGAGTTTTTACTTACAGAATGGTGTAATTGGTTTTACACTGAGTGTTGGAGGAAGCACAAACACAACTTCAGTGGGATGGTGATCAGTAGCCAGCAGTACATTATCCACAGGGCTTCTCTCACTGCCCACAATGGAGTCTATGCATACTCAATGCCCTGAAATGTCTCAGTTCTGAAAAGAAAAGGAAGCAGCAAACTGTGAGATTGTTGCTGTTTGTTATCCAATAAGTGTCACCAGTAACAATAGTCAAAACTTACAGGAAACAGTGTCAAACCAGTCAGCAACAGTAGTCGCTTGCTCATTGTGGATGGCATGAGTACACTTCTCTCCCATAGGGCAGCTCACATGAAACTCCTCTCTCTGTCTGCATCTGCCACAATAGTCCCTTTTACATGTTGCTGCCACACCTTCAACAGCCACAATATGATCCTTTTTCAGAAAACCACATCTCTTGCAATATTTCCTGCTCTTGAAGCGCCTTCTTGTTGGTCTTGGTGGAGCTGTGGGTGGAGGAATTGTCAGTGCAACTTGAAATGCAGCATTGGTGGTTAGATTTTCAACAACAGCAGCAGCAACAGCACCAACTGTTACCTCTGCATTCAGGATAGTGGGATCACCGAATGGAGTGGTCCCAGTGTTGTTGTGTTGAGCTGGATTTGTGTTGTGTATTCTTGGTGCTGGGAGCCCTAGCCGGTTATCTCGCAGACTCTGGTCTAGTTGCTCACGATCCCTGTCGTCCGAAGGGAGTACACCTTGCAGGCTCCTGTGTTGTTGAAGTCGGTCAAAGTGCTGTTGAAGAAGAACTCGACTCTTGTATCTAAGCTGTGCTGTCGCTGCATGATCTCCTTGAGTACTCCACAACTTGAACCTCCTTGAAACCTCTCCGTTCCAGTCTCACTCGAAGGATTTGAAGCTGGTTGGGCCTGATTGTGCAGTTCGATTGTAGCGACTCACCCAATCATCGAATAGTTCTGCTTCTGCTTTGTCAATATCACTGGCTGCTGTAGCACTATCCGGTGCCCTGAAAGGGATCCACTCGCACTTGTTACTGAGGCGCCGGAAGGCTTCCAATGTTGATTCATTTCCACTTCCTGTTGGTAGAAGTCGAGTCAGCTCCTGTTCAATGAGATGCCGATTAGCTCTGTCCTGTTGTCGTGCAACTTCATTGGCATTTCTAGCAGCGATTTCTTGCTGGGCTCGCCGGTTCTGTTCTTGACTTGCTTCATACTCTGCCTCGGTACCAAAAACCTCGATGTCCAAGTCGTCTCCTAACTCTTCTCCAAGAACTCGCTCAATTTCTTGCTGGGACTCCGGTATGGCTTCTTCATCATTGGCGACTGCTTCTTCTTCTCCATCGTCACCTGAGTTGTAGCCCTCAGTAGCTCCGTCCGTAGGATTAGACACTTCTTCAACCTCTGGATCAGGAATCGCTTGATAAGCGAATCCCATAAATTCTGAAATGTCGTTGTCTGGTGTCTTCGGCGATGCAAGATCATATGGCGCAACAGCGAATCCAATCTTTTCAGCGTAGGCATTCAATAGAAGCAACTTCTCCGTGTTTAAAATCTTATAGTCAGTTGCACCTTGCCGGATTACTGACTTTCTATCGTTCCTCTCTTCAAAGAAGCAACACATAATTCTTTCTCCTCTTTGCAGTCCTGGAAAGGTTTCAGTTGAAAAACGCGATGTTTCAAGTGTGAGTGGCATAAGCGCAAAGTTGAAGAGTAATATCCCACTGGATCATTCAGCGTCTTACCAATATGAGTGGCTAACAACAACAAAGCCAGATCCAAGTTGTCACGCTCATTGGTATTGGTTCCCCGTGCGACATAAGTCACTCCTGTAGATGGATTTCTGCGAAATAACTCCACCAAGTTATTTGGTGGATCAGACAGGCAGCCAGTGTCAACATGATGCATCTGCTTACGGACAATCTCAGTGAGTTTCCATTGCTTCATAAACAGTTTTGGCCTTGGCTGGTTGGCGGCAGGAGCTTGAGTGGCCAAAACCCTGTAAGTCTCAGTGTCCTTTGTTTGGATGTAGTTGATGACTGCTTCGACGTTGCTTCGAAGAGTGGTTGCATCTGGGATAATGGAATTGGCTTCCTTCAATACTTCCTTAACAGTGGGCTCTCTCTTCAACTTGTCTTGAAGCTTCTCCTTCGCTCTGTCGAACTCCTCAGGTGTAACAACAAATAAGGCACGAGACATGAGCCCACGAAAAATTCCTGCCTGTACCGAAGAGCAGTCAACCAACAAATCATTCCAGCGCTTCAACCAGTGGAAGGGGTCCAGTTTGATAAGTGCCTGGGGGAAGACTGACTTCAAAATGTTCCTCACATTGCAACAGTTGTCAACATACACGACTTTGATTGCATTGGCCATGGGCCCAAAAGGATTTCCTCCCGCCGCATGATCATTTCGATTGAGTCGGTCGCGCAACAGTATAAGGTCAGACTTGATTTCGCTGAAGGATTCAGAGCTTCTCAAGGCTTTCCAGAAGACTGTCAACCCATCCTCATTCTGAATGGTGACAATGCATTGATAAGGCTGGAAACTGCATCCCTGTTTTGTCCACACTCTTATCTTCTGGGCGAGCTTGTAGTTAAAATCGATCTTCAACAAGCTGGCTGTCAATCCCCGCATCTTTTGCTCTTGAAAAGCTTTTCTGTGCCGGAACACACTTGTCACAAGACCATCAATGCGATACTTGGAGATGACACGGCCATTATATCCGGTCTTGTCTCCGAAAGATGAGAAGGGGACCAATTCGGACTCTTCTGTCTGGCCAGCTGCAGGCTCCACGGGTTGCTCCTCCAATTCATTTTCCCGTTCGTAGTTCACAAGAGCGTCCACAGCTTCATTGTAATGAGCGATGCAAGATTGGATTTCATCATTCTTGGCCTCTTGCACAGCTCGCAGATTTTGGTAGTGGTTCTCAACAATTCTCTTCCAGCTTTTCAAGGGTTTGATGTTCTTGTACTCTTTTGGGTTGGCTGCGAGTAGCTCAAAACAGGTGTCAATCCCATTATCCAACAACCTGCGGAGCTTAGTACCACCAAGTCCCTTCAAAAAACTCCTGCTGCCAAAATTGTTCCTATTATCTTTCGAACGGAGCATTGATCTGAATGTCCAGTCAGCCGCAGCCTTGGATTTTGCTAAGTCATACCTTCCCTGTGCTGACCGTACCGCCGCCATTGCCTTCACCTGGTTGTTCTTCAATTTCTGGTGCTCTGTGGTGTTTGCGTTGGCGGCAGGCAGCATCTCTGGAATTGTCTTCTGCTTTTTCTTGGGACGGATCTTGTCCAACCCAATGGCTGTAAGATAGAGCTGATGATCCTCATAATAAGCAATGTTCGCCATTCGGACTAGTTTCTTGGCAATTGTTGAAGTAGATTCTTTGTAGGAACTTTCCACGATGAGACTGTGGAGTTCATCGTCCACAGCAAAACCATGTCCCAGGAAAAATGTGAAGAACCCATAGTAGAGGGAGGAATCCAGCTGCATGGATTCCTTGTTGTATCCAGCGAACCTTCTTCCACATCGGGTGCACAGATAGAGAACTGTGTCCAAGTAACGGATTCTTGATACGCCGTAAAGGACCTTGGGGCAATTCAACCAACGGCATTTCTGCAAATCGACAGCATTCCGCTTCTTGCAATGGGGGCAACAGGGTACATGATTGGGAACAAGGATATGTGGTACCCAAACTGCCAGCGGTTTGATATAGAACTGTTCCACTGTGCTCTTCTTTCCACGTTGGTCTAACAGGAGGCTGTTGAATCGACCTCCTTTTGTTGGAACCACGCGAGTCCAATCTCGTGGAGGTTGGAAGAACCCTTTAGGATCATTGTTGATTGCATCTCTTGTTCTCACAACAAACTTCCATTGAGGCTCTGATATTTGCTTTGGTTTGCGGCGAGCGGCCATGGTGGAAAAGGAATGACACCTCTTTCTTTGTTATTCAGTTTCGATGGCATTGGATGTTTGAATCGTTGTGCGTTCCGTCTTGAGGGTTAGAGGATACAAATTTCGATGGAATGATCGAAATTTCGATTGCTTAAATAAAGAATTTTCGAAGCACTGGGAGGCTCTGCTTTTCAAAGTACACTTTAAGCTAAGAAAACGACACTAAAGAAGGTGGTGGATTTATAGGTTGGTGTGGGGAAGATTACACGTGGAATCATATGGCGATAGAAGAGAGTATTAGGTTTACATTTGGACGCCAACCTCCTCCCCCCCTTCTTTTTTCTTCTTGGCCGAGACCAACTCACACCAAGACCCATCCAACCCTCCATTGTTGCGTCTCCCACTCACTGGCTGGATTTATTGAGGTCCATCCAAGTAAACTGACACGACAATGCCCGAAAGCAAGTCTAAAGGTCGGAGCAGTCGATCTCGGGCATCCCCTGCGAAAAAGACGGAGCCCAAGAAGAAGCGTCGTACGAGTAGTACTACTAGCAAGAAATCCAAAGAAGCTGCCTCTCGTGCCACAACCACCGCGAGTACTCCAGCCCCATCGGCCGTGTTGATTGTGGACAATGGCGGTGACAAACTCAAGTACGGATGGATGACTCCAAATGCTGATGCTGCTACTACTCCTCAGTACCTGCCCAACGTAACGGCCCGATTGAAACATCAATTGACGATTCTGGTAGGCGATCAAGTGGAAGAAACGGCAGAACGAAATCCCAGTCAAATGTACGCCATTACCCGATCGACCGAACGAGGCATTGTCACACATCTCGGCAATCAAGTCCAAGTATGGAAACGCATGTTGGATTTGCTGGGGGTTGTCATTCCACCTCCTCTTTTGGATCATGGTGAAGCATCCAAAGCGTTTGGATGGAAAGTCACGCATCGGCGGAAACAACAACCTCAACAATCACAACAGCAGCAAACAACACAACGAATTCCAGCCGTGTCATTGGCCGTTCTCTTGTTGGTGCCACCCCATTGTCCTCGACTAGTCTTGGATCAAATTATGCATGTTTGGATGGAAGATTTTGGAGTCTCGCATGTCGGATTTGCCACTTCTCAAATGTGTGCCACACAACCCCACGCCAAATTTCAAACGGGCTGTCTGGTAGATGTGGGATGGAGTGCCACGCATGTCGTTCCCACATTTCAAAACATGCCACAACAGAATGCCATTCGACGCATGCCACTGGGAGGACGTCATTTGGTCAACATTTGGAAGTACTATGCCAGTTATCGACAATACAATCTCATGGATCAAGAATGGATCCTGCGCGATGTGGTTCGACAATTGGCCTACATTTCCTTGGATTTTCAAAAAGAACTACAGCTAGCACAATCCACACTCCCTGGGAGACGGTCGTTTGATCGCAATTTTGTACTCCCCGATTATCAAACCACCTTTCGGGGACAAGTGGAACTCACGGACTTTGCCAAGTATCAATTGGAACAAGAAGAAGAGAAACGAAAGAAGAAGGAACAAGAAGAAAACAATGCTCAACAACAACAGCAAGAAGCAGATGACGAGTCGGAGGATGATGATGAAGATTTCAATGACGACCAACCAGCACAAGAAGATGACAATGCACAAAAAGACGAAGTAAAAAAGATGGACGAAGACGAAAACAGCCCAGATGGAGAGGACGCCGAGAAGGACCGCCAAACGTCCAAAAAGACGAAAAAGAAGAAAAAGAGCCGCAAGAAACGTCGTGGCAAGAGGAAACGGGACCAAGAGGACGACGATGATGATGACGAGGAGGAAGAAGAGGATGAAGACGACAATAAACAGCTCTTGCGACAACGATTGTTGCGTCAACAGCAAGAAGAAGAACGGAGACGACGAGAACTCGAAGCCGAACAGCAAGTGCTCTCGGTATCGGTGGAACGATTCACCGTCCCAGAAGTCTTGTTTCGTCCCTCGGATGCCAATTTGCCCGTGGAACTGGCAGGGCTGCCTCATTTGATTCTGCAAAGCATCAAGGCGTGTCCGTCGTTTTTGCAGCCGGCACTGTACCGGTCCATTCACATTACGGGAGGACTCTCGCAATTGCCCAATTTACAGCCACGGCTGGAACAAGAGTTGCGCACACTCATTCCCAATGAATTGGAAATGAAGGTGACGCTGTCGGAACATCCTGTGGATGGGGCATGGTTGGGAGCCAGAGATTGGATTCGAGAAAAGCCGTATACACAGTGGAGTGTCAGTCGAGACGAATGGGAAGCCAGTCAAAAACGAAAGGCTTGGATCAAGCTGCTCACGGTAAATGGGGGTGCCTTGGTGTAGCTATTGCTCTAGCAGATAGATGGCCTTGCTAACTATAGTACTGGTAGCGACAGAGATGGTATTGTTGTTTTCTTTGAATGCTGCAAACTATCTAGCTAGTGCAATCGATTATTCTACAATCAACCATGCACAGCCTCCGTGACGCAGCAGATCTACATGTAGGCAGCTGTAGCAGAAATCCTCGGCAAGATACCATCCAAAGAGGCAACCAGAAGAGTGTTTCAAGTTTTTAAAATAGAATTGATAAAGACCTGGTTGTCATGTATGTTTGTTGGTTGCTGTGAGTTTAGTTCGTAGCTTCTAAAAAGATAATCTGGAATGATTCCATCCCATTTTCCGTTGGAAAGATGTTTTTTGATGTTGTTGTTTTGTATCACGACGGCGTGACACAGGGTCCATCAAATCCTTGACTGGTGAGACCACCATCGACCGCTAGTACCTGTCCGGTAATGTACGAACTGGCCGGTAGCGACAAGAAGACAATGGGAGCGGCAATTTCTTCCGGTTGTGCCAATCGATGCATGGGTGTCCACGCTTTGACTTTATCGAGTTGATTGGGATTTGTCTTGATGGCATCTTCCAACATGGGTGTCATGGTCATCCAGGGACAGACGGCATTGACCCGAATTTTGCGCGTCGCCCATTCACACGCCAATATTCGCGTCAAATGGTTCAGCGCGGCCTTGCTGAGACCATAGGCAGCGCCCGTGCCGGAACTCTGGAGTCCAGCGGCGGAGGATACATTGACAATAGTGGCTCCATCGGTAGTGGCAAAGACGTCCGCTAGTAGTTTGGACAAGAAATAGGCCGAGTCGACATTGGTCGTCATGATGGAATGATACTCGTCGGGTGTTTGTTCCGAAATATCTTTGCGAATATTGATTCCGACATTGTTGACGAGTCCATGCAGACAAGAAAAGGTTTTCTTGGTGGCGTTAACCAGAGCCGTTCTTCCTTCGGGTGTTGACACGTCGCACTGGACATGGACAATGGTTCGATCCGAATAGTCACTCTGGAGGGAAGACACTACTTCGGGAGATGGTCCTCTGGAACACACAATCAAACCAGCAGCCCCATGAGCTAGAAGCGCCTTGCTCGTCGCCAAACCAATGCCTTTTGTGCCTCCTGTCACCAGGAAATTCCGACCTTGGAGAGACCAGCCTTCCATGATAGATAGATAGATTGTTGCTTTGTACGGTATTGTACTTGGTAGCTTCTGATGAACCTGCGAGTTGACAGACATCGACATGTTGGCATGTTGACAGTTGACATGGTGTCAGGAAGATATATATAGATACGAGCATGCACCTACCGCTACACAGAGTCTGAGTCGAGTGAGTCGACTCAGTCGTCGGAAAAAGATACATCAGTCACGATCATGAATCAATCCGCTAAATAACTGGCTACGGTACCCGTACGTGGTACCGTACGTTGTAAAGTACCAGTATGGATACTGGTACTCACAGTCAGTTGTACCGGTACAGCAAGAAGTGACTGAACTATTAACAGAAGCATTCGTGTTTCACTGAAGGCTTAAAGGATGTTTTGAAGGCTTAAGGGATGATTGAATTGAGCGAGATGTTTAGGGGGATGTTGATGATTTAAGGGGAGGTTTTTAATCAGGCAATGTCAAGTTTTTTACTCACTCAAAAACGTCTGACGGTCAGGTTAGTCGTATCAAAACTTTGCATAGCTACCTGGAATGCATACTGCATACGTACAGTCGTATATATCCTTGAGGTATTGCAATACTTGCTTAGCTCGTGCTCGTATCTGGCGAGCTGTGGTACTCCTATATATGCGGTTTAAGGGTGCTAAGTAAAAGGGTATTTATGCGATTCAACCGAGCGGTTGAGCGCGGTGCGAGTCCGACAAGGTGGTTGTGGTTCATTATTTTCAAAGAAAAATGAAATGACGTTGACCATAAATTCGGTTGCAACCTTTCTCTAGCTAGAGGTAAGTGTAGGAAACGGACAGTCCAGTGGATTTAATTGATTTATTTTTGCCACCCCCCTGCTTCTGTTGATCCAAAATGGCAATGAGCAACTGGATTCGGCTTCTCGTGGTTTCTCTGGCTGTTGTGGACTCTCAGGGTGGTCTGAATGGAAACTCCCTGAGGTCAGATGACTCATCAAAAACATTGCATCAGCTGCTCACTCCTGAAGATGAGGAACAGCTCCTCACAGTGATTGCTGTCACAGAACAAGGCAGCCCAACTGTGGAAGACTTGCAAGAAAGCTACAAGTCGTTCCGTACCAACTATCCTTTCCGCCCATTCTGCGTCTTGGAAGTTCCAGGAGGAGAAGGAGGACCAGGAACCGGCAAAACTCCCCTCGACTTGGCACAAGATGATCCTCTGGTGACCATTGCAACTGTCTCTCATGATGAGGGTGACTCGCTCTTTCAATCCGATTGGTTTGACCTTTGCAATTTGCATAATCTGGGAGACATGTCCACCGTCGCCATCTCTTTGAATGTTCCAGTAAATGATGTTGAAGCTTCCTTTGATTTCTTCTTGACCAGAGCTGCCAATGCAGACCTCACACTGCACCGTGCTATCGTTGGAGTTGGAGTTGCGAACGTAAATTGGATCGATCCCCTCAATCAAAACTTTATTCTTGCACCCATTCCACCCATTCCGAGCCCCACCCCAACTGAAGCGCCCTCCAAGAGCTTCGTCCCCAGTCAAGGTGCTTTCCATTTTGACGGGGAGGGTGTGGCTAGGAAGTTGCAAACTACTCCAGCCCCCTCCTTAAGCTTCAAACCAAGCAGCAGCAGTGCGCCCAGCAACTCGCCAAGCATTTCATTTGCCCCCAGTACTTCAATGAAACCAACAATCTCTCGCCCGCCAAGCAGCTCACCAAGCGTCAGTTTTAAGCCCAGCCTCAGCAGTCAACCAAGCCTTTCATCTTCCCCGACCAGCCAGCCAGAAGAAGACACTCGCTGTTTTTTGAAGAAGCTTTGGGATTGTATTTGGCCTTTTTAAGAAACACAACACAACAGTTACTAGTGAAATACCACATTTGTCCTACGCTTACTGTTTGCGTCTACTGTACTAGTATGTGGTCACAGGGAAAGGAGGAGGGACGACAAAGGACATTGCCTCGATTGCAAGGACTTGACGGTCTAGCTAGCTAGTAGGCTGCTGTGCATTGATGTCTCTATGAGCTCGACATGTGCTGCCTTCACTCTCGTTGTCTGGCAGCCATTGATACATTTTGAGAAGAGTTCATCCTAGCACTTTACCCTTTTTCAAATAACGAAACTACTTGTGCAAAACTTTTTGTTGCTCGCTCGAATCATCCAATCAAGCAAGCTCTCCAAGAAACCTACACGTAACATCCAATTCTTTTACTCATAAAGACAAACCAGGTCGAACGTTCAAATCAAATCGATTCAACCCAGTCTCATGATACCGATCGTATCAGTATAATAGTTAAGCACAAGGACACCAGCTGCAGCCACAGAGCTTGTCGTTGCAATCAAACCACAGTCCATGTTCCCACCAATCGTCTTGGTTCTCCACCTTGCCCATGCCACAGAGTCCCTCAGGGATAGTACCGGACAAGTCGTTGTTCTGCAGACGCAAGCCCTCCAATGAGCCATTTTCCCACAAGGAGACCAGTTCCGTCGGGACCTGTCCTGTCAGGGCGTTGTCGTACAGGTAGACCCGTGTCCTTTTTGTAAATAGAAAAAATGGTTGCGCGAATTCAAGATGAGCTGTGGCGAAAAACACAACCACACCAAACACAAAAAAAAAACACACGAAACTCACAATCTCTTTTTGGTGTCGGTCAACAACCCCAGTTCCGAAGGAATCGGACCCTCCAACTGGTTCTCATACATGGAAATTTCTTCGAGGCCTTCCATCAAACCAATCTGGGTGGGGATGGCCCCCTTGAGGTTGTTGCCATTGACCAACAGCAAGCCCATATCGGTCCAACGTCCAATTTCAGTTGGAATGGTCCTGGTATGGTGCACATGAATCGAGACGGGACGAGTTAGATTTTGTGGTCAGCCACAACAAACAAACGCAAGCAAGTATAGAGGAATACAATACGTACCCGGTGAGCGAGTTTCGGTTGAGCCAAATGGAACGATCCGCTAGCTTGGAGAGTGCCCCGTACTCGGTCGGGATGCTGCCTTGCATGTTGGTGCAATATCCAAAATCCAATTTTGTGAGCTTGGTGAGGAGGCCAATCTGCGGCGGAAGGGTTCCGGCCAACTGAGAGTTCTTGCGGAACAGCAACGATGTGAGGCTTGTCAGGAATCCAATGGTACTAGGAATCTGGCCAGTGAAATCATTGACTCCCAGATCCAGCACTTCCAGTTGGCTCAGTCGCCCAATCTCCGAGGGGATACTACCAACGAGTTTGGAGTTTTGGTCCCAAAGACGGAGACTGATGAGGCTGTTGCTCATCAAGCCCAATTCTGTGGGGATGGATCCTTCCAGGTGATTCTGGTCCAAGGACAGTTCTGCGAGGTGTTCCATCGGAACCAGGGTAGATGTGAGTAGAGTTTCGAATGATTGAGCAATCTGATTGTTGCTCAACTGGAGCGTCTTTAGCTGAGTCAGCAAGGCCAATTCGGGAGGAATGGTTTGGTTTGCTGGAACTCCAGTGTTGCGGACGACAACGGATTGGACCTCGTTCTGGTCATTGCAAGCAACGTTGTTGTCCGTGGACACGAACCACTGGCATTCGTCATCCGTGTAGCTCAGCCAAACACTATCCGTCCAGTTGGGTCCTTGCATGGCATAATAGAAAGTAACCAAAGAAAAGAGCTGCTTCTTTCTCCACTCCTCCAAATCCACCAAGTCGGGATGAGCCTCCAACCAGGCCCATGCTTGGGCTTGCGGGGAATTCTCATCATTGTCCACATTTCGTAGCGTGGATTCGGGGAGATCTTGGCGGAGTAAATCCAAAGGACCCGTGGCGGAAGGCAACGAGTTAATCTCCGAGACCTGCTTGTCCGAAGATTGGTTCATCAAAGTCAGGGGCAGAACAATGGCGAGAATTACTCCAACGAAGAGAAGAACCGCCGCAATGGTAGCAAATCCAACATTCTGACGAGGCTTTGGAACCTCCTTGGGAGCGTCCTTCTCCACGTCGCTCGCGGCATCGTTCTTGCTGGGCTCAATCTTCATGGTGGCAACGAAATGTATCTAGTAGTAGATTGCTAGACTACTTGCTGTCTACTTTTGGAAAGAAGAGACGTATATGCTCCCAGAACACTCGAAACAGAGTTGGATCCAAGACCCCATCAACTCCTTTGGCATGCATTCCTTACCGCCAACAAAACAAGCTTCCCGCCATTTTGTTTAAGAGCCAACGGTTCGATTCAAAAAGATTTAGGAGCTCATCTATGTACCACATGTATGCATGCTGCTGTACCGGAACCAGGTACAACCCTTAAAACGCTGAAAGCACTCTTGCTCGCTTTTCTAAAAACAACACGTGTTTAGTTAGGGCTCGAGTTCTTCTATGCGCAAAACATCTCTGCCGAAAGGAAGATCCTCCTCCCAGGTATCTTCTTCCGATTAGAAATCCTGTGCTTTGCATCCCTGCCATACGTACAATACGAGTGCTTTTTGTATCCATCCAACAAGATGAAAGAAGGAAGCAGCGAAGCGGTTGGTACTTTTGAGTTGCCAGTGGTAGATTTTGCCCCCTTTTCCAGTGCTTCGAACGGCGCGGAGAGTCCCTCTCCGGAACAACAGTCGGTTGCCAACGCCATTGATAACGCTTGTCGTACACATGGGTTTGTGTGCTTGCGCAATACAGGGATTGCACGACAAGCCCTGGCAACAACCTTTGACGCTTCTCAAAATCTCTTTGGAATGACGCATGAGCTCAAGGCAGGATTGAAGCAACTGGACCCGATTGCCAATATTGGCTACAATGGATTGGGCAGTGAAGCTCTCAACCGTCGTCGTGCAGCAGATCTCAAGGAAGTGTTCAATGTACGCCAACCGGATTCCAATCCGGATTTATTTCAGGGCACGCCACCAGGCTTTCAAGAAGCTTCCACACAGTTCTGGGAACAGATAACTTTGCTAAGCCAACAATTCTCCAAATGCTGTGCAGTAGCGTTGGGATTGGACCTGGACTACTTTTCCAAAACCATGACCAAGATGGATTTGTGTACCTTGCGGATGCTTTGCTATCCCCCGTGTCCTACAACAGACTCGGACGCCAAGGATCCGAGTTCCTCCATTCGCGTGGGAGAACACACCGACTTTGGAGCCTACACATTTCTGTTTGTCCACAATTTACAAGACAAGTCGTCGCATGGCCTACAGGTCAAGCCCATTGAAGGAGGAGATCTTGGCTGTGGCTCTCTGGTGAACCGATCGGATGACATGTTTATATCCGGATGGAAAGACGTCATATTTGATGAGGCTACCTTGGCGGAAATGGCACAGGATGACTCCTGCTCGGTTCTGGTCAACACGGGAGCTCTCATGGCTCGTTGGACCAACGATGTATGGCGTGCAACGGCGCACCGTGTCATTGTCAAACCAGAAGCACGCAACTCCTACCGATACAGCATTGCCGTCTTTTTCGATCCCGACAAGGAAACAATCTGCTCAGTCCACCCCAAGTTTGTCCCCCAAGGTCAACAGCCAAAGTATCCACCCATTCAAAGTTTGGAGTATCTTCTCATGAAACTACGAGAAGCTCAGGGAGCTGCGAATGAGAATGACAACAAGGGTAGTGGCAACGAATGAGCCTTCAAGCAACATGTACTGGATGGCTTATGCGGAGCCTGCAACATGGTAATGCCAGGAGATGATGCTTTGCTTGTTTTACTACGAAGTTTTTGTTGCTAGTAATTACTGCGAAAATGCTTATTTTGAATGGGACCAGCATTCGTTCCATGCTTCATGCGTGCTCCTCCCGTGTCCCTGAGCTATCGGTAAAAAATACGGTAGCCAAAGGTGGACTCGACTGGCCATCGCAGCGTTCGACTAGATCCGTCCCGGTACCGGTAGCCCGGAAGTCAGCACCTGGATTGCCGGCCAGGGCTGCCGATACAGTAGCCTTCGCGTTTCACGAGGGAAAACAGCCTAATAAAATCAATCACGAAGAAACTTAGTGCGTCATTCGACCCTCCAACCAGTGGCTGGCGAGTTGGATCGGAAGACTATTATAATAATAATACAGTAGCTCCGGTACCGGGAAGGCCCGGTCATAGGACTGAAAATCGCCAAAATCGGCATAAAGTCGCACAGGAGCACCAAAGTCGCATCAAAAGTCGTTACCAAGAGAACGAAAGATCTTTTTATTAAAAGAAAGGAACGAGCTATGTAATAGAAGGAAGGTCTTGGACACTTCGGACAATCTTTCCCCTCAACGGATAATCCCGGACGGTGCATCCATCTGCCAACTGTCAATGGCTCCTTTCTTTGCTCTTCGACGAGGCCTGCCTTCCCCGCCGTTGTCGAGCCACAGATACGGTAGGAGCTGCACCGAAATAGATTCACTGCCTCACAACCCCAACCTCATCAAACAAGTTGTGGAGACAAGAGACAAGAGAAAGGAGACAATACAAAGGAAAGAATGAGTGATAACAGTGAGGACTACGCAAGCGACGGCGATGAGGGTAGCCAAGTGGATCAGGAAAGCATCGTTAGTGTTGTGAAACTGTTCTGCATGAGCAGTGCAAACTGTGACTGGGTCCTACTCCCACATCGTACCTGGTATTCGTATCTATCCCATATCGTACCTGGTATTCGTATTTATGTTTTAGCACATGACCTGGTCAGCTGGAGTGCATGACCTGGTTCAGCAGGAATTACGCAAGATTAGAATAGGAAAGCTCAGAATCTGAGCTCATAATTGACAAATAGTGAAGGTTGAAAACCAACTAGCTAGAGTCTACAATACAGTATTCAAACAGGTCAGTGAGCCCAAAGGTATTGATTAAGTATTGGTGCTGCTACACCCGAATGTGGTGGGTGAAGTTGCTGAGACCGATCATTGCCTCAGCTTTACCGTACCGTTATCAACGCTTCCTTACTGTCGAATAACATGGGATAGTACATGGCTGCAGACAAGAATATGATCCTCGACGAATCATTTTTGTCCTTAATCAGCTAAGGCTTGTTGAAGTCTGTCGCAGGTACTCAAGGGCATTCCTTTGGTGAAGTATTCGAATCAGCTGACCTGAGGAAAATCAGTGAAGTTGAGCCGGAGACGTGTCAATAATAAAAAAAAAAAAAAAAAACAGAGTCCCGATGACTACTGACACTGGTCCTACCAAACCCAGAGTGGGTAACATCAAGAATGGTATTGCCTGGACTGGTTTTGGAGCCCATGATGACAAGGATAGTCCATTCAGTTACTCATGCATGCGAGCTGAATTAAAGAGCTTCAGTGACTTTCGCAGTGTGAATGCTTTGGAGCGAGCCATCACTAGTCCTCTTCCAGATGAATACAAGTTCTGCCTGTCTTCTGAAGCTGACAGTGCTTCTGGATTGACTCATGGGACAAGTTCGGTGAGATTGCAGAAGACCGAGGTATCTCTTATCTATTTACCTATGTTGACAAGGTGAAAGGCAAGGAAGTCAAGCTTCTAGAGGAGTTTGGGTGGTTTTACCGAAGATGTTGCCAAAGACTTGTGTGACCAGCTGTTGCAGAGTGGTGTTTACAATCTGGATGACTATGATGTTGCTGCCAAGTCATACGGACGTCACCAAGTGTGCAGTTATGACAAGGCCAATGTTAGCTATGCTGCTACCATTTTGAAGGCTTCTGTATCCAAGGAAATGCTCTACAGTTGTGACAAAGATATCCTCAGGTCCCAGAATGGCATCATGATTCTGTATGATTTCCGTCGTGTCTGTTTACTCCAACAATCCTGCAGTTGTCCGTACCATGACAGAATCCATTCAAAAGCAGCTTATCAAGAATGTTCCTGCTGAAAATGTTGAAGAACAAACAAGAAGCTGAAGCAGCTATGAGGATCATTGATGGAAGTGGCTTTGCTCCACCTGATATGGCTGCTTTGTACCTGGCTACTTTACATACAGCTCTGACCTCAAATTGCAGATTGCCATTCAGGCTCAGACAACTGGCCATCCAGGAGTCTGAGGCTTGGCGTGATGCCATGAAGGCCATTCATGCTTGTTGGCGCTCAGCATTGGATCGTGACTATACTCTCCAGCTTTGAAGGCTCCACAAGGAAACCTGATCACATTCAAGGCTCTGCAGGGTGTTTCAATGCTTGAAACAGTGTTGGTAACTTTAGAAACGCAACCGGTGGAACCATGGCACAATAACAACAATGGCAATAACAACAATCTGGTCGCAATACGCAAAACATTCCAACAGTGGCAATTGACAGGTCACTGGTGGCAACATGGTTCCAATAGGAAACACACACAGCAATAACAACAACAACATGGAACCAGAACAATGGTGACCGTCAGGCACGCCGCACCCCTCCCTCGGAGAATGAACCTCATACTCGCACCAGGAATGGTGTGGAGGAGTCCTGGTGTGACAAGTGCAAGTTCTGGACCAAGGGTGATAAAAAGGCATCTAACTGCTGGACATAAGACTCGTGCTGAGTTACAGGCTGCCTCTGGCAGCAATGCTGGCCACTTGTCTGCTGTCCAC